TCCTCTCCAACCCCCCTCCTCCTCGACCTCAATCAAGAAAAGAAAAAACAGTTTTGTCATGTAAAATGAGAGAGAGAGATTGAATGAGCACTGACATATTAAGTAAAACAAATTATGTAATTTTAAAAGACTCACCAAAACCACGTCCACCCATCATTCTTCCACCCATACCCCTGCCAAAACCTCTACCAGGACCAAAGCCATCAGGACCTTGTCTGCAAATACAACACAGAGATCATCCAGCATTAGTGACCATGAATCTATCATTTATCACAGAACAAAATAATAAAACTGAAAGCATCTCACTGTTGCCAGTCCAAGGCTGGAGTGTCGATTAAAGCCTTAATCTTGCTATCTTCATCGGCTTTATTTGTTGGCTGAACATCTGGAGCCTGATAACTTGTCTGCACTGGCAAGACTTCAGGAATTTCATACAAATCACCTCCAAGATCATCCCAATCTGTCTCATCAGGCTGTAACGCCAAAATAAACACACTATCACTAAAAGCTCTGACTGATTGCACAAAGCAAAGCACAACCATGCCAGGATCTAGTAGATACTAAAGCTTACATATTTCATGGCAGATGAATCAGCTGCCTGAAAGCTAGTCCTTTCTGGTTCAGTATATTCCACCTTATCTTCCACCTTTGGCCTGCAATAAAGGAAATAAAACCTAACTCAACCAACCCTCGAAATTGGTCCTAATGGTCATAAGGAACACAAAAATCCTATTGAAGCACATAGCACTGCTTGGGCACACTCCACAGAAGTTACAATAACAGGTGCTACCCCCATATCACAGGTTTGTTAAACACAATAACAATTGATACTGCCAACTCAAAATTCATAATGGACCTTACAAAAACATAACTAAAGAATTTAAAGGATCTGAGATAGTACTCTGAATCAGTAACAATTGGCATGCGAGGCCGTCCAGGTACTCGTCGAATTAAAACTGACGTATTTTTTGGAATCAACATTGCTTCATCAAGATACTCTGAAATTGCAAAACATAGAACATAAAGACTACAAAAACACAGCAAAGATATTGATCCATGAAAGCAAGGATAAAAGCTACCAAAATGCGATTCCCCAAACCATAACCCATGGTTCCTAGTTAGTTAAGTCAGATTAACCATTCCAAAAGATTCCAGATTTCAATCTCACACACCCTGTCCTGTCCCCTCTCAGATTGAGTCAATTTAACATATAGGTGGTCTAACTTTGTTCATTCGATAACAAAAACCACCACATAAGGTCAATCTAACTTAACTTTCAAGGCACATGGTGGCAATTAGTGACCTCAACGTTAATTGAAGTATGGCAATGTAACATCCTCTATATAAACAACATGTAGATAGATAGCTACAAGCATAAAAAAAATTGAACAAATACCCAAAAATCAAATTTTGAAATCTCCAAAATCATATATGATTTTACCACTCAACACACACACACACACACTCATATCACCTGCTATGACCCAAATTTGTGTTTAATTACAAATTGTTCAGAAGGGAATAACTAAATCAGAACCAACCTTCATTGGTCTGGGCGTTGGTGACCACAAGGTCGAAATCAGTACCCCTCCCTAAGTGCTTGGATTCAAATATTTTTTCTTTCAAAATACCAACTGAGATGAAAGGACCGTCCATAGCAATTGAATCATAATCTCTTGCACTCTTAAATTTATAATACACCGCCATGGTCAATACTTTTTTTTTCTTCCAAAAAAATAGAAATATGTATAATAATACCACAACAAGAACAAACAAACGCCCCGAGGAGAACGATAATCAAAGGCCAATAAAAATATAAAGGCCTTGTATTAAGCTCCCAAAAACAAAAATCAAACAGTACAAAAAAATTGAAGATCTTTTCGTTTTCTTTTTTCTTCGATTAATCTATTGAGATCGAACAATCAAACCACCGCAGAAGAACAGGGAGAGAGAGCTCTTCAGAAGCTTCTTCGCCGACCATACGCCAATCTTCTCTCTTCGGTTCGATTCAATTCCTTCAAAAACCGATCATTGAACAGATGCTTCGAATCAAATTGGGTTCCGAGAGCCACCACAGATTCAATCCTCCGCCGATCGTCGCAATTCGAATCAAATTTCACAGATCTCAGCGAAATTAGAAAAAGCCCTCTGCGCTTGTCTTCGCACCGATCCTTACAAATAGCCTGAGAGAATCAGAAAATCCTAGGCTGAGGAACCGATTCTGATGAGCGAATGGATGGTACAATTGCTCCAAAATCGCCGATTGGTTGGCCGTACGTATATAGCACCGAGGAAAATTCACGAATTCCAAAAGCTTCTGAAACGCCAAAACCGAGAAAACCAAAATCTTTCAGAGAGAAACCCCTTGAAATTTGTGAAACTGGTGATGGTTTTCAAGCACTAGGACGTCTGTGTAGTAGGCTGATAATCATTACGAACAGCCAGGCTGCTAGGGTTTGGTTCAGAGAAATTTGAGAGAGAGAGAGAGAGAGAGAGAGAGAGCTCTGAGCGTTGGGTTTTGTTTTGCTTTTTTCTAATTTCCTTTTGTTTTTGTTTTTGTCCTTGAAAGGGTCGAGGGTCGGTTTAACGACTTCCGTTTCGTTTGTGGATAATCCTTGTGGGGCCAGCCCAACAACGACTCGTCGCACACTCAATATGCATTTTTTTTTTTTTTAACTTTAAAATTTAAACCATAAAATCTTTACCGTTGAAAGGCTTTGACTCTAAATAAAAATGTTGACTGTGGAAAAGCTTTGGGCCTAAGTAAAATAGAACAGCTTCAACTACGAAATCTCCTTTTCCTTATAGGATTGGGAAAGATTTAGGCTATCCTTATAGGATTGGGAAAGATTTAGGCTATAAATAATAGTCGGGCACCTTGCATTTTCTACCTTGAGTGAATGAGCAAGCCAGTAGGAAATCAATTAGGTTTTGCTCCTGGGCAGACGTCAATTTCCATATTTGACGAAAGCTCTTGAGTTTCCATTAACAAAGATAGAGTTTTGTTGGGTCTGTGTTGTTTTCTTGAGATAGTTCGAATGGAGAATTATTGCTTCCTTAAGCCGCTCGGTGAAGGAAGTTTCGGGGTTGTATGGAAGGCTTTGCACAAGGTGACTGGTGAGATTGTTGCAATTAAGCAACTGAGGAATGAAGTATCGAGGTTGACTTCATGGGAGGAGTTTCTCCAAATGGCAGAAGTTGAGTCTCTGTCTCAGTTGAAGAACCACCCGAATATTGTCAATTTGAAACAAGCTTTCATGGGATTTGATGGCACTGCTTCCCTTGTCTTTGAATTCATGGAGGGCAACTTATTGCAATTTATGCAACTGCACAAGAAGAGATTCAATGAGGCACAAATCAGGAATGTGTGTCATCAAATTCTTCTTGGGCTAGATCACATGCACAAGAATGGGTGGTGCCACCGTGACCTCAAACCGGAAAACTTGTTGGTGAAGCAAGGTGTGGTCAAGATTGGGGATTTGGGTTCTGCTAAGAAGATTCAGCCGGGCATTCCTTTCAAAGATTATGTCACAACTCGCTGGTACAGAGCCCCGGAGGTGTTGCTTGGCTCACGCTTCTACGATTCCAAGGTTGATATGTGGGCTGTGGGTGTAATCTTGGCTGAGATGTTCAACCTCCGCCCTCTACTTCCGGGTAACAATGCGGAGGAGCAGCTGTTTTGGATTTGTAGTGTGCTAGGCAGCCCAACCATGAAGTCATGGCCTGAAGGGCAACTTCTTGCAGGGCGGGTTGAGTATCAGTTTCCACAGTTTCCTGGGTTTGGTCTCTCATTTTGCATCCCATCTGCTAGTGAGTCTGCAATTCAGCTTATTACTTCCCTTCTTTCTTGGGATCCTGCCAAGAGGCCGACTGCTGCAGAGGCACTTAAGCATCCCTTTTTCGTCGGCTCCCACCGTATTCCACGTGCCATTCCTCGTGCCATTCCTGAGAGACATCACCATATTCTTCCTAACATTGGTGGCATTTTAGTCTAGACTAGTAATGTCATAACTCAGCAAATATTATAAGTTCATCTGTATTTGAAAGATTTTTTAGCTCTACTTTACACAATTAAATTGAATTTGTGAAGAGAGTTCATAATCATATATTGTGCAAATGCTGAATATATATATACATTGATTCACTTTTATTATGTTGCTATGTTGTATCATTTACTGGTTCATATCTGTATCCATAGAGTTTAGCTTTCATGTAACTTCTGTGTTGATGTATTATATTGTAGTTCTGGTCTTTGTCTTACTCTAACACCACATGATCGTTCCCAGAGAAGTATAACTTCTGAAAATGACCTTTTGGACTGCAAACTTTCGTACCCTTCTCTATCCACAGTCGCCAAACCAAAGAAACATTTCATAACTTTGATGCATCATTTAAAGATGAGGCAAAACAAAACTAACGGAAGTATTACTCAAAGTTGCAACGTACCTTAAATTTTGATTACATGATAAAATAAATTATAACCAAAATTGGAATATAACCTCAGATTTTGATTGAAGGATTAAATTAGATGTCAGGATACATGTCCCAGCCTGTTTCATCTCCAACTACATATCCAGTTCCATGGGCTTCTTCACTTAGTAAAAGTAAGCAGAGAAGACCAAATATAATGACCAAAGCTCTGCTCTGTGTCCCAGACATCTTTGAACCATAAGTGCTACAACAATCTTATCAATTACCAATGTTTAGATATTTTAGATGATGTGTTTTTCAAAAGAAGAAAGATGTGGTATCAGACTCTTCCAATTTGTAAAAATTAATCTACTTAATGATTGCACTTTATATTTTGGTCCATAAACTTAAAATTCTAGCTCCGCCCCCAATTAAAGACATGTCTACGGGAGGACTTGGCGAAACAACAAGTTGTCCATCTTGTACAACAACTTTTGTGCCAATCCCCGTAATGCAATTTCTTCTATATCAACTTGGTTTTAAGAAAATAAATAAATCATCTGGGATTGAGTGTGAGATGGAGAAGAAGCAAGGGGAAGGAGAAAGAAGAAATGGTTACATTCAGAAAAATAACATACAAAAGATTAATATTACAACATTTCCTTCATAGAAACTCTTTATTGCAAAGACAAACTACTGTAACAAGCAGCATATATATAGCTAGATGAATCACTCTGCATGAACAGCAATTCTCATTCCATAACCACAGTAATCTATAACATTACAAATAAAGTAGTTTTGACCCTTCTTTAGCACCACATGATCGTCCCCAGAGTTGTATAACTTCTTAAGATGGCCTTTTGCATTACAACATTGGTACCCTTTTGCATCCACAGCCGCCACGCTAAATAATGGGTTGCTATATTTGAAAACTGTACATTAAACCAAAAACAAATGTTATGCAAATAGTTCCAAACATATGAATTGTTCTACACCGTGTCCTTTTCAGGTTAAACTTTTTTCTTTTGGACAAACTTTTTTCATAACAGTTCTAAACCAAAGAAACATTACAAGAAATCAGTTACCATGAAGATGCATCATTTAAAGATATATAAGGCGAAAACGTGCTAATGTATGAGCAGCTAAGTTGGACTCTCTGAAAACAAAACTAACAGAAGTCTTACTCAAAGTTGGAATGCACCTTAAGATTTGGCTACATGATGAAATAACTTATAACCAAAACTGGAATATCACCTCAAAGTTAGTTGAACATGATGAGTTCAGTTAAAATTTTCTTTGAAGATAGATTATAATAAGAGAATAAATCTTACCCAAGACATCTCCAGCCTTGAAGTGCTTGTCTTTCCCCCAATTGCATACCTCAGGATACAGGTCCCAGCCTTTGTCATCTCCCACTACATATTCAGTTCCATGGTGGGCTTCTTCACTTTGCAAAAGCAAGCAGAGAAGGCCAAATATGATGACCAAAGCTCTGCTCTGTGCTTTAACTCTTGTCCCAGACATCTTTGAACCAAAAGTGCTATAATTTTATCAATTACCATTTCAAAGGGTTGGATTTATAGAGCACAAAAATAAAAGAATTATATCCGGAAGAAAAAAAAAAGATTATTGGGTGAATAGGTAAAGGCAATGAAATAGTTGCTTTTGGTATACAAAACCCCTGTGGATCTTGATAAACAAGTTCGGTATTGGTCTCAACGTGCATTGCACTCAAAGGCAGGTTTGAATAATTACCACACATATAATTTTGTTAGGCACCGTAAAGAAGGCAAAGTCAAACAAACATTTTTTTTTGGACAATGAATCCCTGGGAATGTGTTGCAAGCAATCAACTAGACAATTTGTCTCCTAAACTAAACTCATATAATATCTTTCTGTCAAATCGAGATAATAGGTCAAATAATTAAGCCGATCAATTTGAGAATTATTTGACTAATTGGGAGTTATTTGATTTAATTGGGAATTATTCGATTTTAGCCTTAATTAGGGATTCGATTTAATCAAATCCCTAATTAGATCAATCTCTCCAAATTAGGGAAGAATAATTCCTTTCCATCTATGGAATTATTCTTCCGAAACCCTAGCCTCATAGGCTCCTATAAATACATGGCTACGCACAAGGGTTGAGGTACGTCTAAATTCCTATCTGAAACTCTGCATAAATTATCTCTCACAAACCTAGCCGCCATACTCTTTCTCTCTCTCACACAAGGCTCCGGCCACCACACACAACTCCAGCCACCCGGTTCCCACCCTAAAGAAATCTTCATCCTATTGTTAGCTATTGTATTCCTACAAATACTCGACCTGAATTAGGCATCGGAGGGCCTTTGGCCAACACTCCCAGGTGTGGTCCTCTTATTCTGATTTGTTTTGCAGGGAGAAAGAGAACCGAAGAAGACAACGGAATCTTAGACGAATATTCTTGTAGGACGAAAATTGCTCCCACAAAACTCATGTAATGTGTATCTGTCAAATTAATCCCTTAACATGTAGGATACAGTTTCCTTTTTTTCCATTCTAAGCTTGCCACATCATTGAAAAGAATGCTTAAAGAATAGGGTACATTTCTATTTGGTAGACCAAAACCAAAACCAGACATTCTAATTGTTAAAACCAGAAATAAAGCCACACGAAAAAAAACAGCAGACTTATCATAAACAGTCAGATATGTAGAAAATGAAAGCAAAATTGAGCATATCCAAATAAAATATCTAGCTTTCAAAACAATCTTGCTTCATTTCATAGTCTTATCTTGTTATCTCTCTCTCTTCTGACTGTCTTCCCAAAAATCTACTGCCACATAATGAAGACTATGCATATGTTTTGTAAACAAAGTTTCTTGTAGCTCATGCCACATAATGAAGATTGACAAAACGACTGAGTCGTACGTCTCACAGGCCTTGTGAAACAAACCTCGTTTTATGGAAATTATGAGCAGAGGAATTTCATAGTTTGGACAAGATAAGAAAGAAGAAAAATATGAATCAACTCGCAAAAGGTCAGTGAAAACTTAGATTGAAAAAGGCTTAAATATAGACATCTAATGAAACATTCCATCTAACACAAACAGGCTGCAACCATACAAACTGACGCCATTCCTCATACAAATAGAAATGCAATAATAAGAAAAGAAAACTGAAATCCCGTGCATCAAACAATGGCAGAAGGAGAAAAGAAGTACCATCTATATATACCTACTGCTTCCCCTCATGTCTTCATAATGCTGATGCCATTGCTCTTTGTGTCAAGTATGCAGTTGCTACATGTTGAAAGTTTGTAGGTAAAAAATTCACCATGATGGCATGACATGTTCTTCAAAGTATGAACGTTTCGCTAGAGTTTTTAGTAAAAATTCACTTATTTGGGATGGTGGTTGTTACTCGATGTTGAATATAGTTGTTACTCCGTTTTATTAATGTTTCTTTAAAAATAGTACAGCCGGCTATACTGTTTTGGACACGTAGGCAACTAGGCGCTTTGCGGCAAATCTGTTTCGTTTTTCATAATTAGTACAGACGCTTTTTTTTTTCTTGTGTTAAAATAGTATAGCCGACCGGCTGTACCTTTTTTTGTTTTAATTTTTTAAACAAATAGTATAGCCAAGCTGCTATACACTTTATACGTATGTGGTGCCTAATCACTAGACGATTCCTCTTTTTTTTTTATAAATAAATAGTATAGCCGGCAGCTATACTATTTTTGACACGTGAGCAATTAGGCGCTACGCAGCAAATTTATTTTTGTTTTTCATAATTAGTATAGCCGGGCGGTGATACTCGATTTTATTCTTAAAAAAAAAAAAAATAGGATAGCCGTGCCGCTTAACCTGTTTTTTTTTTAATTTTCTTTAATAAATGGTATAGCCGCGCGGTTATACTCAATTTTATTAATGTTTGTTTGAAAAATAGTATAGACAGGCGTTAGCTGGTTTTTTTTTTTTAATAAATAGTATAGCCGAGCAGCAATAGTTGCAATTTATTTTTTTGGTGAGCTTTCAATCTAGTTGCAATTTTTTTTGTTTTTGTTGATATTATTGATGGGTATTCAATTTAATGGGTTTGATCGATCTATCTCTACTTTGTTTTTGTTATCTGATTCTTTATCTAATGGGTTTGATCGGGCTATGTTCGTATTCTATCTCTTCTTGTTTCTTTTTGAAACCAGATTTTGACCCAAAAAACAGAAGTTAATCATCTTTTTTTATCTGATACAGAGTGTTTGGTTTTCAGATTTTGTCATCTATCATCTTTCAGTCTAAGACTTTGTGTTGCTCCAATAAAGGTATAGTCTCAACCTATCCTTGATTTTCAATCTGTGTTGTTTCAATAAAGGATTAGATTATATGTTGTGAAATTATTGTTTCTTGCAGTCTGCATAATTTCTTGTAGTTTCTGTTATGGTCTCTTCTTCTCTCTTTTTGACTAAGTTTTGGGTTTAAGAATTTGTTTCTGAGGTTTGTCAAAATTGATTCATGTCTGTTTAAAATTGATTCATGTCTGTTTAAGTACCTTAGCTCAATTTTAGTTTGAATCATGTTTCAAAGTCACCTTTATTATCCGCTAAAATTGAGCTAAGATTCATATATGTTTGAATCAATTTTAGTTGTTACGCTTCTTTTTTGAGTAATATAGATGATTTTATCTTGATTACAGTTTTGAGTAATAACAGTAGTCGATAATGAATGTTTTTTTAAAAGGGATTTGAATGTTACCTGCTTTACAATTGTATGCTTTAGGTTAATCCAAATTTGGCTGAAGAGTCAAATGCATGCGTCTTTTTCTTCAACTCATAGGAGCTGCCAAGTTCAAAGAATGAAGGGGATTTTTTATCTTGTTTTACTTGTTCTTATGTTGTATTGACTTTCGAAGTGGAGACACAGACGATTTTATTCTCTGTGAATTTCAGTTTTAAAATTTCTTCTATGATTATCCAAATAGGGGAAATTGTAATTTCCGTCATTTTCTAAATTCTTTATACAAGATATCTAAACACTGAAATTTGAAATTGACGTAATTTCAAATGTTGTAATTATAAATTCTGTCATTTACAAATTCTATGACCCTCCATTTGGATGAGGGAAAATAACTTGGAATTTAGCTAAAAGTCAGGAATTTAAGAGGACAAATTGACAATTCTCTTGTTTGGCAATATAAGTGCGGAATTTATTAAATGACGTGCAGGAAAAATCGTGGAAATAGAGGCATCAAATTCCCAAGTTTAATTTCCACCAAAATAGGCATCATTTCACAATTTTCATAATGCAGGAATTCATATTTTCTAGTGTGCCAAAACTTACATTAAAAAAACAACGCCAAACTTTTCATTTAAAAAAAAAGCGCCAAAATTCATTTCACAATTATTGTTTGTACAATGATCTTTTTTATGGTTAAGCTAGTACAATGGTATTATGATAATTTTCGTGTTAAATAGCCTTCACATGATTGGGATGAAGAAATGTGATCTTATTTGAACCATATGTATGATGGAAAAGAAGTTGATTGTATTGATCAATTCCAAATTAGCAAAAGTGCATTAAAAAAGTTATGTAGAATTTTAGAAGAAAATGGTGGGTTGGTTCGAACAAGAAATATTTCAATTGAAGAATCTGTAGCAATATTTTTGAAAATAATTGCTCACAACTTGAAATACAGAGTCATTGGTTTTGACTATTACCTTTTAATCGAAACAATTAGTCGGCAATTTAACAGAGTTTTATATGCAATGATGAGAATTAGTGAATAATACGTAAAATTCCAGCCAAGTACTATTAGGAGTTCCGAAAGAAGCAAATGGCAATGGATTGAGGTACTTAGTTATCTTAAGTTTCATACTTATATTGTTTTATATTTCATGTTTAGAATTGTCTTGGGGCATTTTGTTAGGACCAATTTTTGGTATATTGGCAATTTCCTGTTACAAAAACATAGAGTAGGTCTTTGAGTGTAACCTACAGTTTTCAAGTGACATTCTGCTATCCTGAATCAGTGTGGCTCAGAGACAATGCCAAGGTATGTTTTGCATCCATGCATTCATATTTGCATATTTGCAAGATCATCAAAAGTGGCTGTCAGATTATAAGACTGATATATGATTTCCGCCTTACATAATCCAGAGCCAGACATCAGTGAGTTTTTAACGATGGTTTTATATTCTTTAGTTTGGTGCTTATTTAAGCAAAATGGTTCTTTTGTCTTTACGGCTGGGTTTTTAATTAAGTGGCTTTATTTATTTTAAAGAAATTATTTATCTGTTAAAAAGCCCATTTTTGCTAAAAGCCTTTTTTGGTCTCTAACCTAGTTTTATACAAGAAAGGAACTTAGCCGTTTTGTTTTGGGGTCTGCAACGTTGAAAAGAATATTTGTAGAGAGGTTTTTGAGAGTTCATATTGAAAACTCATTCAGCTGTTCCTTGTTAGCCTCAATGAGTGATTAAATAATCTTCTTTTCATATATGTGTGAGTTCATGAGCGTTATGCATGTTGGTGATCAACAATCGTGCCTTGAGGTGTGAGCAGCCGAGACCAGAGTTGTGCCATCTCTTGTTGACAAAGGAAGACAAGATCGCTGGTTGGGTTGAGTAGCAAAGGCGAGTAGGCAAGTCTGCCTTGTGAGCGTTAGTCTTGTGAGTTGAGACTTGTAAGACCTTTTTGTATTCTTTTTCATAGTGATCTGTTCTCCGGCATAGTGCCCGCAGCTGTTTTCCTCATCTTGAGGTTTTTTTACTGCGTCAACATATCGTGTGTCCCTTGTGCAATTGTTTGCATTTTTATTTGAATTTATTCTGCTGCGTATTTTGGAATTTTTGCTTACAGGATTGTTACAGTATTTTAATCTTGCCGTGGTGTTTGAGTATTAAGAAACAGATCAGTTGGCCATTCTAGTGAATTTCACATTTGATGGAACTCACATTTCGATAACAATGTCTGTAGAAGAAAGACCAAGATATCGAAATATTTAATTTTTGTCATTTACAATTCACATGAGCTATCCAAACATTGAAATTTTGAATTCTGTCATTTACAAAATTCAATATATATAAATCCAAATATTGAAATCTTCAATTGCCAGTCATTGAAATAACGGAAATCTAAATTCCGTCATTTTAGAATTCTATGTAATTTGTAATTCCTTCATCCAAACGGAGCATGAAAGTTAGGATTCCTTCATTCAACCGCACCATTAGGGTACATTAATTTTTCCATGAAGATCAAGTATTGATCAAAGCGAACCATCCCATTATCACCACCCATCTGTTGAAGAAATTCTTCCAGTTCGTCCTCAGATGGGGTTTGCCCTAGTGAGGTCAATACATTGCGCAGCTCATCGGTAGTGATAGTGCCTGTAAATAAATAAATAAGAAAATTTTATTCAAAAGCACATGAACCATTTTCTTGAACATCTTTTTTGTCAATGAAATTAAGTTCTATAACTAAGCAACGAAATTTTAAATATTAAGGTTGATTTAGTAACTTAATTCAACATTTCAACACACGTATTCTCTTTTGTATTTCTACGATTGGTATGGAACGGTCACCACGTGTATAACATGTTATGATCTTTCTTGTATCCATGAAATGAGAAAATTTTAGATGGAATAGACTATATACAATCATGTGTTTAGTCATATATATATAATTAGTGATAAAGATGAGAAATTTAAGTTGAGATGGTAAAGCGTAATATACACATAAAGAGGGATCTAACCACTGCCATCCTTGTCAAAAATGTCGAAGGCTTGCTTGAGCTCCTCGACTTGCTCATCAGTCAAATCGGAATCCATATTTCCTTCTGTTTTTTATATATATATATATATAAAGAAATATATATATAAACTTCTGTACTGTTTTTCTTTGATGTCTCTTTGAAAGCTCCGAAAGAAATGGAGCGAAATGGAGGTATTTAAAGTTTCATCAAATTCTCTCTCTGCGACTGTGAATGAATGTAGTCGTTTAAATGGATGGCAGTAAATCTCGCTGCAGCTTTTACCACATGTATTTGTTTTAACTTTCAACCTTTGGTGAAAATGCAACACTCAAGTTTGCTATGTAAAAATCCACCATGAATCATGGCATGACATGTTCTTCAAAAGTATGAACGTTTCGCGAGAGTTTTAAGTAAAAATCCACCGTGAATTTGGGATTGTGATAGTTGCTATTATGTTGCATGTAGCATGCTTATGTATAATAACGTTTCGAGAGAGTTTTGTCCAGGCTCATATTTTTTTCCATGGGCGGTTCCAGCTAATGGCAGGCTAGGCTCATGCCCGGCCCAAATTTATGTTAAATAAATATTACCCACACTTTTTTCTCTTCTCTCTTCTCTTTTGTCAGGCCCTAATTTTTGTTAAAAAAAAGTATTACATACACTCTCATCTCTATCCTCTCCTTTTTTTTAGGATAATGATTTCTTACTCTAATTTTATCCACTTACACTCATTTTTTAGTTATAAAATGGAATATAAGTGGATAAAATTGGTGTGGGGAAATCATCACTTTTTTATATTATTTTCCTCACACTCTCCTCTCTCCTCTCTCCCTTTTTATTCTTTTCCTTACACTCTCCTCTCTCCTTTTTTTTATTCTTTTCCTTCTCTCCTCTCTATCTCTCTTTTTTTTCGTTGTTTTCCTTCTCTTTTCTCTCCCTTTCTTTTTTCTTTCTTCTCCTTCTCTCATCCCTCCTCTCTTTTTTTTTCCGTTCTTTTTCTTCTATCTTCTCTCTCTCTCTCTCTCTCTCTCTCTTCTCTTCTCTCCCTTTCTTATTTCTTCCTTTTCCTTCTCTCTTTTTGTTGGAAAAATATTACCTACATTACTTATGATTATTAAAAAAATTTGTCTTGCACAAAGATAACTATTTCAAAAATTGCAAAACATGATTGATAGGGGCTATGGAGCTCGAGGTGGAAACCTAAAAACGGATGTCATAATAAACGTTTATAAAAGCAAACAAGGAGAGAAATGAGGTCACAAGTCGTTTTTAAAAAAAAACCTAGCTCCGCCAATTTTCTTCCTTCCCATTTCTCTCGAAATAAATCTTGTTTTTTTTATAAAATTAATGTAGTCCTCTATATTATCTTTCTTTTTAATGTGAAATATATATATTTTTCTATTTTTTTCTTTTGGTTTTTATTTTAGTTTTTGCATATTCACTTGTTTCGTCAAGTTTGTTATATAAGTTTTGCATAGTCGGCTTTCGAATCCTGAAACCGCCACTGTTTTTTTCAAGTTTGAATTTGCCTAGGGAAATGGAAAATCAAATAACATAAACACCTAAGTACTTTTTGGTTGAAGTTAGGCATGGCAACGGGGTAGATTGGGGCCGAGTGTTAGGTAACGAGGACTCGTAGGGGATTCAGGACCTCGGTGTTTTTTTAAAATTAAAATTTGTTCTTAAATGAAATAACGAAAAATTATAATGCAGTGGATGAAAAAAAATAAAAAGACAATAACACAATACAATTTCGTGTAAAACAACATATAATTATACTCCGATATTGAGACAGAAGTACCATAAAACTAATAGCTAGTTGATGATGGTTGAATTTTCTTTACTGAGGAAAAGGAAAGCAAAATTAGTTACTTATATAGTTTTGGTAAATGGGTACTTACTTTCATAATTTTGTTAACTTTTCCACTATTCATTTCACTTTGTAGGAAAAAGAAAGTCGGCGATGACAACTGTCGGTGGGTTGGTTCGGAAAGTAAAATCCATGTCAGGGGTGTCCAAAGATATCATTGGGGTGTAAATAGAATCGCAAACCACTAAATCCTAAACCCTGCTTACCCTGCAGTGGTGAGAGGCTTAAGCCTGAAACTGAATCAAATATTTTAACGAGATGAAATTTAGGGCTTCACATGGAGTCCTTATATTCTCTCACTCTACACGCCTCAATTCCCTCCATAACCAGCGACGCTGCTTCGCTTCATTTCTTAAAAAACTCCATAAACCAACTCAAGCTCGCTCCTTTTCCAATGGCGGAGGTGGTGGTTCTAAAGGTCAGTGTTTCGCTTCCGGCGCTTAGTTTCTGTTTGGTTGCCGAGAAAATAATGTAGACAAAAAGAAAGAAACTTTGTTTTAGTGGAATTGATTCCCCAATTTCTTTTTTCTTTTATGTATCAGATAAATAGAATTAAAGCATTGGCGTATCTTGAATTAGTTGCAAATCGTTGTGATGGAGCGTTGGCACTATAAATTTTGAATTTAGTTTATGTGATTGTTATGAGCTATTTATTTGTTAAAAGTTATCATTAGTTTTTTTTTTTTTTCAAGCGTGTGAAGCTAATTACAGGCTGTGTGCAGGTGATTCTTTTCTCTTGCCTGGTGCAACGGTGGCTACATTGCTTATGCTTGGTGCTCTACATGTTCGTCGGATGTATGATGACAGGAAGGTATATGTGGGTGAATTACATTCCATTTTTCCATAAAAAAATGTGGGAATAAATAAATGAATGAATGAAATCAGCAGCATATGCGCGTTAACCATGATTGAGACATGCCGGATAATCTGCCGTATAACAAAAAACATCACATGTCACATGTCACATGTTTATCTAAGCTTGAGAAGGTCTTTTGAGTAGAAGGAACAAAATGTTCAACCTTTGCCTCAGAATTCGAATGTCTAGTTACGTAGTTACTGTTATCACTGCCTGTCCATAGTGGTGAATTCAATTTCAGTAGATTACATGCTATCTCTACCTTTTCGGTGCATAACACTTGAAATATGCAGTAGAATACTTTCTGTGTGCATTTATGTGTATTTGTTATATTGTGTTCTATATTCCAAATTGATCTCAGTTGTTATAACTAGGCACATTCTAGAAGTTGCGATGATTATTTCACATGTCTTAATATTTCCCCCCTACTTGATTGATAGGTTGAGGAGGCACGGGAGAAGGGAACGGAATTTGAGTTTCAACCTGATGTAAAAGTAATGTATCAATAGTAATCGTTGCCTGATGTTTTGTAGTTTCATGCTTTCACTTATAGCTTCTGTGTTTTAGTTGCAAAGTTCGTTGTCCATTTCTGACTTTGACTTGAATTTTGTTTACATTGGCAACTGTAGTCGACATTTTTAAGATTGCTGCCTTTGCGCTCCATTTCCAGATTTTGGGGTTTATTGACTAGTGTAGTAAGTGATCTTCCTGTTTCTTGATTCCTCATCTTTAACAAATCTATTTCCTTTTCAAGCTACATGTTCCATTTATTTTTTTATTTTTTTTGTGCTTGGAGAAAACGAATTTATTTTTGTAGCTCGACTCATAATATTGTCTTAGTTATTTATTCTTATTGATAAGTTTTGAAATTATTTACCCACTAGACAAAAATGTTTTCAGGAAATCCCAGTCTCTCTACGTCCGTATGTTTATGGAGCGTGGGCTCAAGCATTCCATTCAAGTATGATTTTATCTTTTTCATTATTGTTGTCATCAGACTTTTTTAATGTTTTGCTACAATAGCTAGTCATTTATTAGTTTTGAATAGAATGGTAGAAATTTGTGCGTGAAAAAAAGTTAAAACTGAATGATATATAATATATTGAAAATATGATATGTTTTGCATTTTAGACTTGGAAGAAGCAGCTCTCCCTCTGGATGAATACACGTCTTTACGAGAGTTCTTTGTTCGCACCTTGAAAGAAGGTTCCAGGCCTATTGACCCTGACCCACGATGTCTGGTAACTGGTAACCAGCAATTTGGACTGCTTATTTGTCCAATCTGTTCCACTTTGAAGTGTTTTTAGCATTATGTGACTTGCATGACTGCATTTCTGTTGTGAAGGTTAGTCCTGTGGATGGTACTGTATTACGATTTGGGGAGCTTAGAGGAGCAGGGGCTATGATTGAGCAAGTCAAAGGTTTTTCTTATTCAGTTTTTTCCCTGCTCGGTGCAAGCTCATTTCTTCCTTTGATAGCTAAAGGAGATGTGCATGAGGAGAGTAGTGAACCAGAAAATGCTTCCAGGGAGAAGAGTAAGAAGTCATGGCTGAGAGTTTCGTTGGCTTCTCCTAAAGTTTGGGACCCTGTATCAGCATGGTAATGAGATATTTGGATACAAATAGTGCCATTAGTTGACCCATCATTTTTCCTGATATTTATGTATGTACCAAGTTGAATACAATGCAGTTTAATAAATACATAAATTTTCTTTGCAGTCCTATGAAAGGCCTCTTTTACTGTGTAATTTACTTGAAGCCTGGAGACTATCATCGCATACATGCACCAGCTGATTGGAATGTTCTTGTCCGCCGTCATTTTTCTGGTAAGCTTAGGGCTGCGACGACCTGCATGTTGAACACATTGCGGCTGGTTCCTTACTTAGGTTAACGGTTCTGTGGATTATGAAGGAATTTGCCGCCTTGGAAAGTTCTTTATCTTTATATTTCTTTAAATTTTATGGACCGTTCTGTGTATTTGCTTATTCTGTAGCAAACCAAAAGCAAATACATGATTGGTTGCTCAATTTTTAAGTTTTCATTTTATGCTCTCATTGATTACCAGTGTTGGCTCTAAAAATCTTGAGTTAGCTATTTCATTTATGATCTTGGTATTTACTTTGCAGGTCGTCTACTTCCTGTAAATGAACGTGCTACAAGAACTATCAGAAACCTTTATGTTGAGAACGAACGGGTAAACTTTTGTATATTAGTTTATGTTAACAGGAATTTAACAATTATCAAGATATGCTGCTATTTATGTTTGTGGTATTATCGCGTTCATTCGTGTTATGAGAGATGCTTACTTGTTAAACAAATTAAATACTGGTTTTTTTTTTTTGTTCATTTATTCTTTCATTTTTGGGATGGTGATGGACAAAAACTAATCAATGAGAAGATATGCAAAAACCAATTAACGAAAATGCAGGGGATGAATTTAGACATAATAAGGGTGTGTATGAGATTAAATATTCTGGATGCTATGCTGCAATGCATATAAATGGAATTTGACATGGTGACACATTACAAACAAAAACTCGCATTTCTTGGAAATATCTGGCCTTCTCCTGTACCGTCAAATCATCCTATTGTTCAAAAGTTCTCCCAGTGTCAGATAATTTAATATATCAATATGTCAACTTGCTTTGCTGTGTTTGGTCTTCCCATCTTTTCCAGGGTAAATATGGGTCAACATGCAATTCTTCCTTTGTTCTTTTATTGATTTATAGTTGTCTTTGCAATTCTTATGCGATCAGGTTGTGCTTGAAGGTTTATGGAAAGAAGGATTTATGGCACTTGCTGCTGTTGGAGCAACGAATATTGGTTCAATTGAGGTAAAGTGTTTCTTTGCATATGATGACTTGAATTCCCAGGGGACACACTTGCACGCACACACACTCACAAACCAAACATGGAAACACTTGCACATAGAAACAATTCTTTTACTCACTTCTGGGTTTGGCATTTACTAAATTAAAATAATGTAGGCAATTAACCTGAGAAGGCTGAATTTGAAGGAGGTTTAGGACACAATCAAATACTGTGCATGGAAGGGCTGGGTAGTGCATAGGGTGGTGTTTCAAGAAAGTATTTAAACGGACATCTCTTTTAATAAGTGCACAATCGATTCTATAACAATCCAATACCTCCCTCCTTCACAAAAACGAAAGACAAAAAACTGAATGAAAATCAAATTTCATGAGTTGCACCTTGTCCCAACTGAAGCAAACCCAGATTGATGGGTTGTATTTTTTTAGTTTTATTTTTTCATCGGACTTGGGTGTCGTTGGAGTACTAGTTTCTACTGATTATCTTTCTATTGTCGTTGAATCTGTCTGATCTTGGACATGGCAGCTTTCCATTGAACCAGAACTTCGGACAAACCAGGCAAGAAAGAAGTTACTGCACTCAGAGCCTCCAGAAGAACGGATATATGAACCTGATGGTATTGGTAGGACGCTCAAGAAAGGAGATGAGGTTAGACATGTATTTTGAATGTCTTCCAGGATTTTTATGCTTTGGTTAGTTTTGTAATGTCCAAGATATAAAAAGAGAACAAAAGAAAGCTGCTTGGAATTTTAAAATGATATTTCATACTTTTACTTATTTACTTTTGCCAACATCTGGCCTAGAAATCCTTGGATAAAAGATTTATTTTAATGGTTCCACTTGCCTTGAATCCCTTTTTTGTTGACTTCCAAGCATAAAGATGGAAATCATTTGAGAGAGAGAGAGAGAGAGAGAGAGAGAGAGAGAGAGAGAGAGCAGTTATACATAACCAGTCTTTACGTGGTTTTTAAAATTGGTATCTTAGATTCTTATGCTCCTCATCACCAAACTTATGAGCTCTTCCATTGGTTTATTATCTTCATCTGTTAATGTTTTGTGCATCTATCCATTCAAGGTTTTTATTTTACCAGTTACTGTCTGTGTGCTTCCATTTATTCAGGTAGCCGCATTCAACATGGGATCAACTGTTGTGCTTGTCTTCCAGGCTCCCATATCACTATCACAAGAAAATGGGGATTCCTCATCAGAGTTCAGGTTTTCGGTCCAACGTGGGGATAGAGTCCGTGTTGGGGAAGCCTTGGGGAGATGGCAGGATCAGTAGTAAGCCCCGGGTAGCTAGCCTATATATGGTGTATTCAATCTTTTCATGATGAAACAAAAAAAGAGTATGTTAGCCATGTACCAAATTGCTGAAATTGAAGTAATGTATCATTAATCAGCGCAATGCTGCCTTTTACAGGTTTACAGGTTCTAGTTATGGGACTATATTGAAAGAAACTTGGATGTTCATAGAGCCCCTCCACAATCTACCAAGCTAGCACTTTCTTGGAGATTAGGAAGTGAATAGTAGATAAGAATTTCCTATGGCTAGGTGATTGTTGAATGAGAGTAATTTGATGTATCGTCGTTTGCGTCGAATGTTAGGAAATTCTTACAGATTTGTCCATCTAATTATGTGAGGTGATTTGATACTAATATGGTCTGTTCATTAATCATCTCATAACTGGGTGAAATCCCTTATTTTTAAATCAAGTTTATAATTCGAACATATAATAAAACTTTTGGGTTTTTGTACTACTGTCCCATGAGCTTCGATTTGTGTCTCGTTTTGGTGCATGAACTCTTATTTGTCACAATTATTAGTTTGTGATTAGTACATACTTATGTAAGCACATTACACGACTATGACCATTTGGTCTATTGACACTTTAATGTCTATTTTATTTGAGGATATTTTGAGTACAAATTTTATGGACGACAATTGTTCATTGCACCCTTCCGCTCCTTCCCTTTTCTCATCTCCTTACTCTTTCTCATCCTTGAGATCATTGGGCTGTCCACAAACACCCACCCCCAAAACTAAGCTAGGATTAATGGTTCGTTTTTCCTCTTTCTGAGTACTTGGACGAAATTGAGGAGATAGCTTCTTTTTTTTTGTTACAAAAATAAGAGAGAGAGAGAGAGAGAGAGAGAGAGAGAGAGAGAGAGAGAGAGAGAGAGAGAACAAAATTGCATTAAACCTTTGTAGAATGATTACAAAATGTTAAAGAGTATCACTTACCCTTTTATTATGAACAAATAAGTATCTATCTTAGAAATAGTGAGAAATTTATAGATGTACTTGTCATTATTTTGGCAAATGTGAGTATTTGAATGAAAATAATGAGAGAGGGGTTTGACTATTATGTTGGGCATAATAATCACTGAGCATTCATGAATTTTGCCATGAATTTCAAGAATTGATCAAAGCGAACCCTCCCATCTTCACCGCCCATCTGTTGAATAAATTCTTCCAATTCTTCCTCAGATGGGCTTTGCCCTATTGAGGTCATTACATTGCTCAGCTCATCGGTAGTGACAGTGCCTGCAAATAAATAAAAATAAATAAGAAAATTTTATTCAAAAAGCACATGAACCATTTTCTTGAACATCTTTTTTGTCAATCAAAAGTATGAAATGATGACTAAGGGAACTTGAGTTTTATAACTAACCAATGAAATTTAAATATTAAGGTTGATTTAGTAATTTAATTCAACATTTCAACACATATATTTTCTTTTGTATTTCTATGATTGGTACGTAATGTTCACTGCGTGTATAACATGTTATGATCTTTCTTGTATGTATGAAATGAGAAAATTTTAGATGAAATTGGCTAGCCCAGTGAGCCTTTTGAGGATTAAATATAGCCTAGTAGAATATATTTTCAATTTGATAATATGTGTTTTTGGGTTGCATTAATATGTATTTGTCTTATGTTAAAGCTTTTTGAAAATTAGCATTTAGCCATGCACTCGAGATTCTAAGGTCCTAAGTTCGATTTCCTCCCTTCACAATATTGCTTGTATAAAAAAAGAAAACAAAAAAACTTATTTGAAATAAGTCTATGGAACTCTGAACTATCGTGGGTTATATGATTTAATGTATACATTTATTTATAGAAAGACTATAAAAATTATCCTTATATTTTAAGCTAATAACTTTAGCTAGCTCATCCGTTAAAATATTCTTGGTTTCCCCTTGTATACAATCATGTGTTTAGTCATATACAATCAGTAATAAAAGATGAGAAATTTAAATTGAGATGGTAAAACCTAATATACACATAAATATATATATAAAGAGGGATCTAACCATTGCCATCCTTGTCAAAATTGTCGAAGGCTTGCTTGAGCTTCTCGACTTGCTCATCGCTCAATTCGTGAGACATATTTCCTTCTGTTTTTTTTTAATAAAGAAATATATAGAAACTTCTGTACTGTGTTTCTTTGATGGCTTTTTGAAAGCTATGAAAGAAATGGAGCGAAATGGAGGTATTTAAAGAGTTCAAATTTCTCTCTCTGCGACTGTGAGTGAACGAATGTAGTTGTTTAAATGGATGGCAGTAAATCTCGCTGCAGCTTTTACCACAGTTATTTATTTTAACTTTCAACCTCTGGTGAAAATGCAACACTTGGAATTTTGACTCGGTTTGTAGGGGGTCTGTTGGCTTGGCACCTCCTCCATCCAAATTTTTTCTTCATTTTTATTGAAATGTTTTTTTTTTATATACATAATTTACTTTTTAATTTTGTCTAACACGACCTCAAATAAATTAAAATCTCAACAAAAAAGGAATTTTCACTCTAAAAATAATTTCTTATATTTCATTAAATAAAATTTATGCATCTCCTCAAGTACAAAGTATATTGATTAATGAAAAATAAGAAAATTGTTATGGACTCAAAGTTGATTGAGTTACATCTTCTTCATGGGAAATTCTATTTGGAGCTAAATTATTAGTATTATTAGTCATATTTATTTATTACTTGATGAGTGAAAAATTGCATGCAAATGGAAGCACTTATTAATCTTCATCATAAAGAAATAACTCAAGTCCACCTAGTAAGCAATTAAACCCAATTTAAATTAGAGGTATCTGAGCCTTTACATTTAGTCACTATGCATTTACCCGCATTTCGCAAGAATCATTCTAATAATCTAACGACTCAAGATATAACATGTTAATTTTTAACTTTTGACACCTATCTATTTAACTCCAACTTAACATCGTTAACCCTAAATCCTAAACCACAAGGTGTGGTACGGTTAGCAAATTGTCATCTCCTAGTGCCTAACTAGCAGGGGTTTAAAACCAGTTGGGAGCACTTTATGCCCAGGAGCAAGCCAAACCCTGAGCAAGGATTAATCCTACTATTCAGGTGTGGGGACACCTCATGGGATTTACCCAATTTATAAAATAAAAAAAAAAAAAAAAAAACCCATAAACCTATCAGTAACCACCCATGACACACCCCACCCCCAATCACGATAACCCCCTTCCCTCCTATCAAAAACCATATAATTAACTCAAACTTGAAATATTCCAGAAATTGATGGGTGGAGACCCTTCATAATTGTTTATGAGTGTTAGGTAATTTGGTCTGGGTTAATTGGGTAAAAGGCCACCATGATAAGACCTAGTTCTTGCTTTTTATTGCATTATTATGATTTTTTATTGCATTATTATGAAAAACAGTTTAGCTGGTTGTTTGTTAACATGGTTGTTAATTCGTAAAGAACGAGAAAGGTTGGCTGTGACTAGGGAAGGGGGGTTTGCCGTTAGTGGGGTGGGGTGTGTCATCGATGGCTGATAGGTTTATGTTTATTTATTTATTTAGACTTAAACGTTGTTAAGTTGGAGTTAATTAAATAGAAAGGTGTCAAAAGTTAAAAATTGAAATGTCATACCTTGAGTCGTTAGATTATTAGAATGGTTAAGATCTTGCGAAATGCAGGTAAATGCACAGTGACTAAATGTAGAGGCTTGGGATCCCTCATTCTTAGCACTAGAGATATAGATGAACCATACACCATTTAATTTCTATAAACAAACCCAAAAAATAATAGCTGGCCATGTTGAATTTAATTTTGATTATTAAATTACTTTGATGTCATGTTGAGTGATTTGAGTTTTTTTATAAATTTGTATTTTTTTTAATGAGGTTTTGGGGTTGAACTTGTTTTAATAAATCGGTGGCAGTTTTGTAATTTATAGGAAGTTCAAAACCTCTATGTTATGTTGTAAATGCAATTTGGGTGTGTTTCTGAAGTCCATTTCATGTAGATTTTTTATTATTTTTTATTTAGTTATTTATAAATATTTACTTATTTAATATTTATTAATAATTTGAACTCTTATATTGGGCATAATAGTAAAACTCCTTTAAATTATTGATTTATTTTTTTGTTGTGTTTGTATTGTAGGATTAGATACTTGAAAAGAGAAAAAGAATTCTTTATTTTATTTAAAATTAGATAACAGTGGGTAAGACATTATAATTCCTGAGGGGTTTGATGAGCTTGATGTTTTTCTGTAAATATAATCTCACACACTTTTTTAAAAATTTATTTATGAACAATACAAAATATTAATGTCTGCCATCACTCGTTATTGCCTTAAAGTGTTGCTATAGCCATGGCCTTGAATACGCACAGGGTGCTTTGCCCGCTTGGTTCTGAAATTTCGACTTGTTAACACCGTTGTTAACATACCTTATATATTCCAGGCCAAATTACCCAAAAGAAAAGCGTACCTATAATCACATGAAAGCCAGTTGCTAAGAAACTGTTACAGTTAGGCATGTGTTCCACCATGGTCATTGTAGTTTCAATTTTAGCAATTTTATTTTAAATTTATCAATTTCACCGTTGGAACCCTCATTTCTGTTAATTGAGTGCACGGCGAAGTAACGTGTTGCGCACATGTTTATGTAGTTTGGCCAAATTTACACTAAGGTCACTCTACGCAACTTCACATGTGCGCAACTCGAATTCATGCCGTCCACTCAATTGACGGAAATAAGAATTCACAATTGGATTCATCCACTCAATTGATGGAAACAAGGATTCACCACCGGATTGCAAACCGAAACCAACTAAGCATTAATCTTAAAGTAAATAACGGACCAACATATTTTCAAACCTTAAGAAACAATGCAAACATTGTTCTTACAATTCCTCCCAGTCCTGTTTAACAACCAATTCATACTTCTCCCAATTTGGGTTAACTACCAGCAAAAACTTAAAACCATCAATTCTTACAGGCATGTCTTGCAGCTAAACTGAACCAGAAGAAGATGATAAAATAGACAACCACAAGAACCGCAACATGCATTTTATTTTGGTCTCTCTCCCTCTTCTTCTCCAGCATAGAATATACAACTCACAAGAACCATTCAACTTATTCTAATAAACTCTTCCAGCATTTCAGACGAAAACCAAAAACATGAAAGCAATGACAAGACCTAGAATTGCTGAATGCCACTACTACTCAGAAAACTTCATTTTGACCAATCGATAACTGGGTATTCACACAAGTAGGATACTCATCTCAGTCCACCAGCTGATCGAATCCAAACAAAACTACATTCAAGTTTATTGGTGAGATTAGTAGTGTCACACCCACCACCTTCATACTCAACTCAGCTAACACTTTTATCCCGACTTATTGGAGTCATCTACTGCTTATTGCTGCTCGGAATTACCAAACTGTATCTTCTCTCGTGGATCTTCCTATCATTACTCACTCAATCCCACCACTTTACATCAACCAAAAATCACTTATACATCAAACAGTTCAATGTATCCACTCTCTTAGTAATAAGCCAATTCAAACTGCATCTTGTAAAAGCATACCAGAACACACAAGGAACCACAAAAGCATGTCCTGCATTATACAATGATAGACAGAAGACATTCTAATCATAAATACCGTTTCTCATACCCAAACAGATTCAGATCTAAATTATCATACCGCTCAAAACGAAAAGTATATCCAACAAATTATCTACACAACCTTATAGCAATATGACATGATTGTTCAGTGGAATTAAAAAAATGTGAAAAATTATTCCAGGCAAATGGGTATTTGATAAATGATACGCATCAATTCTAGCTGCATAACTAAATCAAGAGGTACAAAAACAGAAAACCAAATGCATATATCATTGTACAAAATCTAGTTAAAATTCCAAATAACCCATATAACAGATATGAAGTTTCAATGAATTTACATTTGCAAATGACGGGTCCAGCCTTTGCTGCTTTTCAACTTCACCACTCAATTACACGAAAAATCGAATCCGAAATTCCTGGAATCTCAGTATCTCTCTATATCAAAACTTTGTTCCTGAAATACCAATCAAAACAAAAATCCCAAATTAGATTCAGAACAAATACCTAAACTTGAAGTTTGCAAATTTAGGAGACTCGGGCAATTTGAGAAATATGGGAAATTTAGGGGAGTAGGGAAATGGTGAAAGTGAAAAATCTGAAAAAGGCACACCTACGTCTGTTTGGAGTAGGAAGCGGAAGAAGGAACACGCTTGTTACGGAACATCATGTAACCGACGGGTAAGACTACTCCGATCATCATGATGGCCGCTCCGATCACGTATCTCAGTGGGCTCGGCGGTTCCACCTCTATCAATCTCCTGAACTGCAACGCACAGAATCACAGCCCCGCCATTATTTTTAATTTTATATAAATACATAAATAAATATAGATCTGGATCATAGGAGAAAAATAGAGAGAGAGAGAGAGAGAGAGAGAGAGAGGGTTACAGGCATTGTTGGGGCTCTGAAGATTGAGAGAGCGAGAGGCCGTCCGACGGTGACGGTGGCGGAGGATCGTTTACTTTGACGACGGGAAGGAAAGGATCGGCCTTGAGCCCTTTGTCAGGAATCAATCGCTCATCAATTCATAGTTGCTCAACTCAAGTCGTGACTTCTCGTCGTTTCGTACCGTGGTCTTAATTTTGGGAGCGTTGGATGGGCTTAGCCCAGCTATGTGGCGCAAAGGGAGAGCCCAATAGCAACCTTAGTCAGTTCTCTACCAAGCCCAACTTTGTTTTCTTCTTGCCTTTTTGTTTTGTTGTTATTTTATGTAATTTTCTTTTACGCAAACGATATTGGAGGAGGGAAGAATCAAACGCATGATATGGAGTAGGCACAGAACCAAATAGTTTCTTGGATGTACTAAACATAGATATGCTTTATCCTTTTTAAGTGTTTTCAAAATTCCATGGGCAGTCATTTTGTATCAAGTAATATGCATTCCGCTAATGATCATTTAATTCAACAACATTAGTTTATATTTTATTAGAGGAAATTCTAAGTTTAAATATCATGAACGATAATTATTGAATAAAAAAACTCCTCCCATCTATGATTTTGCTCTGTGTCATGTGGTAGTTGTATGTTATAATAAATAATGAACCATAGTTGCATCAACTAATGGCTTGCCAAAATCATGCTAATCATGTGATCCGTTATAATGCGGAATAATTTTAGAATGGAAAATGCTAAGGATTATTGTATACCATGATGGGACCTATTGTATTGATGAGCTCCACCTTTATTAGAGAGATAATACATAAATTGGTATCTATAGTTGGTCTCTCTAGTATGACCCTTTTAAAATCGTTGAATTTCTTTATCAAACTACCAAAAGTGATTTTTCAATATCTTATTTGTGACAAACAATTGAAATTTATAGTGGATATAATTTTGAATAAGTGAAGCATTCTAATTATGTATAGTATTACTAAGTTCTGCGTGTTTTCTTGAACAAGTAATATTGAGAGAGAGGAAATTAATGGAAGACTTCGGGTGTATGGGTGTTAGCTCAAGTGGTGATCGAAGGGAGTCTATTTTTTTGGAAGAAACAAAAATATTAGTTAATTTCCTTTTTTTTTTGGCAAGTGGCAGTTGGTAAGTCACTGACTCATGACTCGGTTGCAAACCAAACGACACCTAACTGGACGACGTATTTGTGGAGGTGAAGGCATAGCGCGCCACCATTTGCATTTGCAGATAGAGCGAGCGATAGAAATGAGCCTTGTCCAAAGAGCCTATCCAAGCCTCCCCAAGCTTTTTGGATTTGCAAAGAGGTCCTTCAAGTCCTTGAGATTTCCGGGTGAGCCTCTCGACCCTTCGTCTTCTCCCATCCTTTCCTACGGAATCCATGTCTTCCATGCCCCCGTAAGTCCTCTCCTCTTTATCGCTTCTCGCATCGCAGTAGCTTCATTTTCCTTTGTCTTCTTTTTTTCTCGGGAACCAAACGGGGATGAGAAAATCGAAAATGGGTGTGTTTTTTGTAAGTAGGATGCAGTTGGGATTGTGGCCAAGCTCTCGGATTGCATTGCTTCTAAAGGTGGAAACATACTCGGCGCCAGTGTCTTCGTGCCCGAAAACAAGCACGTCTTCTATTCCAGAAGGTACCTTTTGCTTTTGCTGTTTGATATTTTTTGCCAAATTTCTCAGATTTCATTTGCAAACCGAAATAAATAAATAAGGAATTTGTCTGGTTTTGTTTGGATGGATTGATTGATTGTTTATGAGTGCCAAAGCTTGGAATGAGTTTCATTTGATTGTTTTTGGAACTGTGTAATATTGTTAGGATGAAAAATCTAGTGATTCAACCAATGAAGTTTGCTAGTTTTTTTTATTATATTTATTCAAATAAGAAGAAGAAGATTAAAACATGCAGAGTCAGCTTTTCAAAGTAATGACTTCGAAAGAAATGGAGCATGTCGATTTGACAGGTTGCTTCCAACTATCCAACATTAGTTTTTCCAAAGCCAGCTATTGTTTGATGCAATATGTTGAATTGTACGAACTCTCTGATTAGATCGAACCATGAGACAGCTGAAAATCTAACTGTCTGCAACTTGGCAGTGAATTTATTTTCGATCCCATTAAATGGCCAAGATCAGAAATGGATGAGGATTTCCATAAGCTGTTGACAACGTACTCTGCGATGAGATCTGTTGTCCGGGTTCCAGATCACGACCCCAAGTATAAGATTTGTATCCTTGCATCAAAGCAGGTGCACCACACACAAATATTCTTATATATGTACACACCTAGACACCCATGTTCTTATAAGTTCTAATGTTGTGTATATTAAAACTGTCTTTATGTTGCTGCAGGATCATTGTTTGGTTGATTTGTTACATGAGTGGCAGGAAGGCAGACTTCCAGTAGATATAACTTGTGTTATAAGGTGAGGTTTTTGGAAGTTTCACTATTGTAGTTCATATTTTGGTTTTCATTCAGAACTTTGACCATGGTTGCATTCCCTCGTTTTTCTTTTCATTCCAGTAATCATGATAGAGGTCCAAACACCCATGTGTCTCGCTTTCTTGAAAGACATGGTATACCTTATCATTATCTGCAAACAACCAACGCTGACAAAAGAGAAGGGGAGATATTGGAGTTGGTTCAAAATACTGATTTTTTAGTTCTTGCCAGGTACATGCAGGTAAATCAGCTTACAGAATTCTGTGTTCTCACCATTTCATTTCAATTATCACTTTTAACTTTCTAAAACGGCCATGGGTAAAAGGTATTGAAATTGAAGTTTGCAGTGCTGACTGAAGGAACAAAGCTTCTTCTTCTTCTTTCATTCTAGAACTAGAAGTCAAAGGACAGTAAACTTTAGTACCAAAAAGGATAGTAAGCTTGAAATCTATCAAATCCATTAGTGTCCGCTACTTAAAGGAAGAAAACAAAAGAATAAGCAAAGTAGACATATTGCAGATTTGTTGTAAAAGATTAATATCGTAGTATTTATGAACTAAAGCATTGTTTTCATTTCCACAGATATTATCTGGTGATTTTTTGAAGAGCTACGGAAAGGATGTAATTAACATTCATCATGGCCTTTTGCCATCATTCAAGGGTGGAAAACCATCTAAACAGGTTCACACTTCTTGTCCTTCTATGTGTTAAAACATATTGTTGCCATTTGAAGTATATCTATGCTTACATCCTAACTGTCTATGCATGTTTAATTTGGTAGATTATGTTCGCAGGCTTTTGATGCAGGGGTGAAACTTATTGGTGCAACAAGTCATTTTGTCACCCAAGAACTTGATGCTGGTCCTATTATTGAACAGATGGTAAATACAAATTTTTTAGGGGGTTTCACTAAAACACCCAAAATGGAGGTTGAAATTATAAAAAAACCCAACACCCAAAACACTTTATAAACACACCCAAAAAGTTGACTTTGGAGTTGATTTTGGGTGTGTTTCTATGTTTAAATAGTGCTTGGGTTTTTTTATAAATACATGTCTAGGATTGGGTTTATTTATAAATTTGTAAATTTTTTACTGCTGCTTTTAATTTTGCCCGTGTTTAGTTTTGACATCCTTGTAAAAGCTCTATTATTGGTTCTGAATCTCTGACCATACAGGCTGATTTTCTGTGGTGATTATTCTCATTTTTGCTGCTATTTGAAAGTTACACCCTTTTTTACTTTTTCCATAGAAAGCTTTGGTTTTTCCTGGGCAAGTGTGAGATGGGAACATGATGACATCAAGTTAAACAACTGAACCAAGTTACATAGAACATGGATCACATTGAAAAGGATGACTTTGCTACCCACCAAGAGCATGGTGGGTGGGATAGTCTTAGTTCAGATTATATATCTTACTTTTAGAAGTTACAGTGCTTTGAAATGCTCGATAGTCAGAATCTTACTAAAACACAAACTTATGTGAGCCTAAAACTTTAAGTAAAATGCTTTCAATGCCTTGATCCCTCATTAATATTCTGTTCTGGTAATATGAAGCATGATTTTAAAATTTTATCTCATACCCTGATAACGTCATTACTCAGCTTTGTTGGTTATTGCATCGCATTGTATAAATTTTTTGTAGAGTTTAATATTTAGTGGTTGAAAGAAAAGTATATGCTGCTGAAGAACTTATGCAAACCTGCTGATTTCTGGCTTCTGTAAATTGTTTAAGACAGACATGCTTGCATTTTAGATTATGTGTTCTGTGTGCAATGCCCATCTGTGGGACCTGGAAATTAGATTTATTACCAAGCATTGATATTCAATGATGCGTATATTGTAACTGTAGCAGCTTATAGAGTTTACAATACATTCAACTTCAATATGCAGGTTGCAAGAGTTTCACACAGAGATAACTTGCAGAGTTTTGTGCAGAAGTCAGAGAACCTCGAAAAACAATGCCTTACGAAGGCAATTAAATCGTACTGTGAGCTGCGAGTGTTACCTTATGAGGATAACAAGACTGTTGTATTTTGAGGGAAAAAAAAACATACTTCTGAGGAGAAGTGCCTGGCATCTGTTTGTACATTGTATCATTCTTATAAAAAGTTGAAAATACATATTTTCTGCCTTTAAGGGCACACAAATAAAAATGATAGTTATTGAGGGCCGACAGGTTGATTATGAAATTGGCTTTATGCATGTCATAATCATATTTTGAGGAGTCATTTTATTGGGATGATTTTGTTTGAACTCCTTATTTGCGTAGGCAACTGCGCGAACTTAAAAGGCAAAAAAGCAAATAGTAGGGTCTAATTTAGAACCATCCCTTTTATTTTGTTTCTATAAAACGAGAGATTTTCTTCTGTGTCTTTCTTATTTTTCTTCTTTTGGCATGCAATCTATTCACTCTTTAGCACCAGCTGAAGGAATTTCAGCCATTCCCCTATCATAGGGACTAATGGCAGCATTCTTTCGGTAACCTTGATTTCAAAGCTGATTCTCCTCGCAAAGCTAAAGAAAGACTTTGTATTACTTAATGATCAATGGCTTAAAACAACAGGAAGACAAGACCATGCTGCGTAGCAATGTGTTTTTTTTATTTTATACATGTATGCACTGTCACTCATTGGCAAAAAGTAAAGAAGCAAGACAAGAAATTCATTACTTGGTAAATTTCTGTGCATATTAATGATTCTTCAAGAATTCTCTTAATCTTTTCATTTGGAAGCTGAAATTTTTGCTTTCTTTTTTTTACTTTTAAATATGAGCAAGTACCTGTAGCAGTGCTGCTGTAAGAGTCATAAGGTCACCAGGACTTTGAATGTCCGCTGCTGATCTAACAGCAGATGCCACACGGCCATTTCAATGCAATGCGATGCCAGCAACTAGAGTTTTCTGCTGCAGTCAGTTACAGCAACCAAGTTACATACCCGTTCCTTATCTTTCTTCTTCACTGTGCTACTAGTGAACTCCTTATGGTGGAACCATTTGCCCATAGACTTCATTCTCCGATTATTAACAGACTTTACAATCTTTCCTGTCTGCAAGAAAGAATCAGAACAATTAGAAAACAGAACTGAACTTGCAATTCAGACTTACAACTATTGATAGAATGTGCCATCCCACTCCTTAGTTTCATGAATACTTAGGCAATTCAATAGCAAGCATGAATAAAGGGGACCAAATTAGGGACATACTGCACATGCATATAGTCGTCGGAGTTAAGGGAGACTAGCTTACTAGTTGTGGCACAACAATTGCTTTTGGGAATTTGTCAGGACCTTTTTCAAGTAAAATTTGCTTCTGCTTTTGAGCAAGAGCCCTTGAGATTTCTGAAGCAGAAAGACTCCATGACCTTGACAAAAACTCCATAGGCTCCTGTGGTGTTTGTGGCTGAGGGATTGCAGGCAAGGTTGGCACTATTTTCATCTCCTCAGCTTCCTCTACTACATGTTGTAGCCCATGCAAAGAACCAGCACTCTTCCAAGCTGAAAAATAACCACTTTCCATTTCTTAATTTCAAGTTGTATCTTTCTACAGACAGTTTTCAATAATAGGTCATATAGCCGAGCCTATCAGAGGATGGCACGTGACCAAGTAAGGTTGTAGCACTCATATATCGACCCGACTTGGTTGATCGCCCGAGGTACTGTTATAGGTCTTATAGCTGAGCTTATCAGAGGACGCCACGTGGCCAAGTAAGGTCGGGGTGCTCATGTACCGACCTGACCAAGTTGACTGCCCTAGATCCACTGTGACATCATGTGACCAGAAAGGTAGAAGCGCTAGTATACCGACTGGACTAGATTCTTGTCAGACCAAGTCACTTCACGCACCTAATAGCAGTATGGTGGCTGAAAGAGAGCATTTAATGCGTTTCACATCCAAGCCAGGTGTCGTCTTACTACTCGGTCCCTGATAATCAGTATAGTGACCGGTGCCCATAACCACTCTCTACTCCCAGCATTGGGAATGGCTGAAGATCTTCCCCTTTTGCTAGATTGAAGGAGATTGGAATGGCTGAAGATCTCTCCTTTTGCTAGATTTAAGGAGATATGATCTCCCCTTCTCCCTCTATAAATACTCTTTACCTACATTGAGACTCTCCATTCTCTAGAAAACTCCATCTATTCATTCTCAAAAGAAGATCATCAATTTTATCTCTAACTTAGGCATCATAATGGATTTGGCTGGTACCATACCGGTCCTTCCCCCCTTTTGATAGTCTAGCTGCTTGAAGTGTGCAGGTTATTCTAGAAGATTGATTCAACCCAACAGCCCAGGGTACATTCAAGTCTTGACCCCAGTTAGGACCCTTGTCCAACAAAACCAGTCTCCCTATCAACAAAAATGTTCTAATTAATCAGAAAAGCTTTTCTTCTTTAGGGGTGGGCATAAAAACCGATAAACTGATTAAACCGACAGAATCAAACCGAAAATTTGATTTTTTGAAAGAACAATAACGAAGTCAACATCGAGAACAGACCCGACCCGATTGGGATCGGTTCAGGCTTCGGGTCAAAAAAATTTCAACCGTTGGACCTGACCCGAACCGCCTAATATTTAATTATATATGTATGTGACACATGGCGTTGAATGATTGGTCCAGGGAAGAATTTATGGTGGGTTTGCACGCACTAGATAGAAGCGCTCTCATAATTTTTTTCAGTAACCCTCACCTTCTGTCTCACTCACGCGGCCTCTGTCCCTCTCTCCCACGTCACCAAATCGGCGGCGACATCGCCCTACTCTCTCTCTCTCGCGCTCGCTCGCTCTCAGTCACTCTGCTCTCCTCTCTTCTGTTCTCTCTCTCTCTCTCTCTCTCTCTCGCACCCACATCGCGACGGCGACAGTCACCTTCTCAGGCCCACATCAGCGACGGCGAATCTCTCTGGCCGCCTCTATCCACCGCCAATCTCTCAGGTAATTTTGCATGTATTTTGTATGCATATATTAATCCTGCCAGTTTGGTAGGTTTCATTTGCTCATTTTACAAGTATGACATACAAAATGCAAGATGTCATTCCCCTAGACCATTACAGTGTTCACATTTTCAATCGCAAGCATGCTTATCCAATATTTACATTCAGTGAGGAACTTACATTTCCTCCAGCAGACCTGACAATGGAAGATAACATCCTAGCAGTGGGTTCAACATGAGCTGCTATGTATACATCGTAGCCTTTAAGCAAGCCTTGGGGACTTGCTTTCGCTCTGAGAACTGCACCTCTTAACTCAGTTCTATATTTGAGCGCATATTCTCTATCATCTAATATGTAAGATGATTCATCCAACAATGGGAAAAAGAAAATGCTTAAGGTGTTACTAATACAACAAAACCATAGTCAATTCAACTCACCCACATATCTTCCTTGACGAAAGCTTTCTTTCAAGCAGCTGGGAGAAACTATCCAAGCTCTGCACAGCACAGAAAGCTCTATTGAATAAAATATATTTATAGGATAAACAATACCAGACTTTTCCTAATAAATTACGGCTATAAACAGAAGGATATTAACTTGTTTGAGTGTTTTTGTTTGCTTTCTTTTCCTGTTTCTCTGCCACCAAAAATAGTCTTTCTAATTTAAATGAATACATTTTCGGATTTTATGTTTGTTGTATCTTATCCCATAGAAAGTAATGATTTAATTTGTTAACACCTCAGAAAAGAAACAAGTTATAGAGCTTTGTGATGTAAGCGTCAATAAAGTTTCTTCTGTTGTTTTCTTTACCCCTCGACAGGATCATAAGATGAGCAGACCTTCAGCACTCAAACGGAAACAGCCAGACTCAAGTTCTCCGTCGGAGTCTTTGACAGAGCATGAGAAAATCGTATATACTGTAATCCGAAGCAAGCAAGATATGGGAATTTGGACACGAGACATGAAGAAAGAAGCGAACCTCCCCGACAATCTGGTTGGCAAATCCATAAAATCACTCCAAGCCAAGAACCTGATAAAAGAGGTTGTAAATGTCCAAAGCAAGGGGAGAAAGCATTATATGGCTGCAGAGTTTGAGCCCTCCAAGGAGTTAACTGGCGGGGATTGGTATTCTAATGGGACCCTCGATAAATATTACATAACCTGTGTAAAAGATGGGTTTGCAAAGATCATATATCAGCTCAAGGTTGCTACCTTGGAGGGAATTTCACATGAAGTTAAAAAGAGTGGAATATTCAAAACTTCGTTCACAAAACAGCAAATTGAGGAGATTCTGAGGGTTTTGGTTTTGGACAAACGGGTCACGGAAGTGAAGAGCAATGGGATGGGGGAGTTTGGTTCGTTTCCAGTTGGGAAAATTTGCTATAAATCCACAAGCAAGGGAGGTACTAAACGGGAACCCAAAGCAGGGGCCATGGCTTCCATTCCATGTGGAGTTTGTCCACGGATAAGTCAATGTACACCAGATGGTATTATTTCCCCAAGGACTTGTGTCTACTTCACCAAATGGTTGGATTTCTGAACTTCTTGTATGCAGAGACAATTGTTTGGTATGCTTTTGGAGGTTTTCTTCTTTTGTCCATGCGATGTATGGAGTCCTGCAGAAGCTTGATGCCTCAAAATTTTGCGTCTAAATCCTATATATGATGTTTAATGTCTTTGAGTACGTCTTTTTACCTGGTTTAACAAAATTGGTTTCTGAATTTTTTTGGCTCAACCTGGTTTCCTAGCCCCCCCTCTCTCCCTCTCCCTCTCTGTTTCTCTTTTATTTATCGATCTGCATGTTTCTTTTTTAAAATTCTAAGGGCACGCTTGATAACCATTTCAATTTTAGTTTTCATTTGTTGTGCTAGATTATAGAGGAAAAAGATGGAGGATGGAAGTGTGAGATTGAGATTGGAGATAGTATTGAGAGGGAAGATGGGAGGGGGAGGAGTAACAAAAGTGAAAACAATTTCAAATAGATTTCAGTTTTTAGTTTTTGTTTTCACTTTTGTTATTCCTCCTCCCTCCTATCCTCCCCTCTCATCCTCTCTCTCATTCCCACTCTCGTTAGTTTTCACTTTAGTTAATCAGAAATTCTAATGGTGACTGGTGTGGTGGATTTTCTGCTAATTGGGCTTGGTTCTGTGTTAGAGGCGGAAGTGTGGGCCATTCTTTATGGTTTGAGGCTTGCTAGCAATTCCAACTATTTTCCATTGATTGTGGAATCCGACTCTCAATTGGTGGTTGTGTTGGTGAATGCTTCTAGTTGTGATCCGTTACGCCTTCTCTTTAGCCTTATCTCTTGTTGTAAAGCCCTCATGACGGGTGGGGTGTGTCGCATTGAACATGCCTTCAGGGAATGTAACTCTGCCGCTGATATGCTTGCTTCTATAGGGAGTGGTTTGGATGTGATAGCACAGCCGGTGGTGGCCGGAGTTGGCAGGAAAAACCCTCGAAAGTTTCAGTTTCAAAACAGCCCGTTTTTGGGCTTCACTTTGGCTCGAATTTCTGGTTTAATTGCTTGGAATCAAGGCTAGATATGGGTATGTATGGAAAGAGGAGAGAGAGATGAAGAGTTTGCAAGTTGTGGCACCATTTTTGATGGCCGGACGGCAGAGATATCTCCGTCTGTATTTGGCTGCTTGTGAAGGAGGAGAGAGAGGCAGATTCGTGAGGGGGAGAGAGAGAGAGAGAGAGAAGAAAAATCTGGGTTTTTAAAAAGAGATATTTAATCATATACCCATTTTTAGCACTAATAATATAGATAAAAGTGTTTTAGGTATTTTTATGAGGTTTTAGGGCTGAGCTTGTTTTAAGAAATTGATGATAATTTTGTAATTTATAAGAAGTTAAAAGTCTCTTTGTTATGTTATAAATGGGCTTGGGGTGTGTTTCTAAAGTCCATTTCTATAAGATTTTTTTTAAAATAATTTGGGCTCCAATATTAGATATAATAGTGAATCTCTCTTTTAAAAACTGAACTTCGAAATATTTACGATTATGCCACCAGGCTTCCGTAGGTTGTAACTTCTTCGTTACAACTCCGATTTGAGCTCACTATGTGTCTACGAACCCTAAACCCTAATCTACGCAATAGTACCATTCATTTCCCCAAAATCCTTCCGAATGAAAAAGTGACCAAATACCCCTATCCACAAGGGCAAAATTGTAATTTCATAATTCATTTAATTAATTAAATTAAACGAATACTTAAATTTGGGTTGGGATGTTACATCGTCAGGTTCTGGGGTCGTTCCCATTTCAAAATTGCTTTGATCTTGCTGGGATCAACATGAATTCCATCACCGAAAATCACGTGAACTAAGAATTGTACCTCTGTTAACTCGAAATCACACTTAGACTGCTTCACATAAAGTTGTTTCCCCAACAAGGTCTCCAAAGCAATCTTCAAATGTTGTTTGTGCTCCTCCGTTTTCGAATAAACAAGAATGTCATCGATAAACACAATGACAAACTTATCGAGATACAGTCTGAATACGCTGTTCATGATGTCCATGAATGTGGCAGGTGCATTTGTCAGTCCAAACGACATCACCACAAACTCATAGTGACCATACCGAGTGCGGAAAGCTATCTTTGTTATGTCCTCTTCTCGTATCCCGATCGCAGGTCGATCTTTGAGAAGTATCAGGCACCTAGTAGGTGTTCGAACAATTCATCAATTCTGGGGAAAGGATACTTGTTCTTGATCTTTGCTTGATTCAACTTCCAATAATCCATGCCCAGTCAAAGTGAACCATCATGCTTCTTGGCAAATAGAATCGAAGCTTCCCAAGGTGATGTACTTTCTCGAATGAACCCTTTTGCAAACAGGTCCTCGAGCTGCACATTAAGTTCTATCAATTTCGCCGATGCCATTCGGTAAGGTCTGATTGAGATTTGCTGTGTTCCAAGTACGAAATCGATGCGAAGCTCGACTTCCCTTGTTGGTAGTAATCCAGGTAACTCGTCAGGAAATACGTCTGGGTAGTCATCGACTACTAGCTTTGCTAGCTTTTCTCCTTTCTTCAGTTTTGCAGATGCTATCATAAAATAGCACGACAAAACTCTCTTGCCTGTGTAGCTGGTTCTTATGAGTAGTGTTGATGCAAAAAAGTGGTTTGGCACTTTTGGGCTCAACTTAGTGATGTTGGGCCTTGGTATGCCTCGGGCTTCTGTGAAGCGTGTGATCTGCAAGATAACAAACGCTCAGTAAGGCCTTTAGGCACCGATGTGATACCAGCCGAAGGCTCTCCGATGCTTAAGTAAGTATGGATTTAGTAAACTTTGACTGACAGATTAGTAGACTATATGCCGTAAGTTCTGATTACCTCCATTTAGGGATAGTGGTCCTCTTTTATAGGCCTTAGGAGGTGTGCATATTGTTTAGAATTTCGATGTGGGACTGTGGACGTTGATTATAGGCATGCCACGTGTCGTGGAGAAGGGTGTTGCTCTAATCGCAGGATCGGTAGGCAAGGTGCCGAGGGCAACCATAATAAGGCTCAACTTGTCCACGTGTCTGGTCCTTATAAGCTATTCCTTTTGGTATAAACAAGCAGGCTTGGTTGTACGATACGCTCATCGAGACTAAGGTCCACCTTTTCTTCTTCGCGAATGGTAATGCTAACCTTCCTCTTCTCGCAATCTATTATGGCTTTATGGTTTTTCAACCAATCCATGCCCAAAATTAAATCATAGTCCACCATCTTTAGTGGATATAAATCTGCTGTTAATAGGTTGTCCTTAACTAACAATTGACAATCTCAGTAAATGGAATCCACATTAGCATTTCCACCCAAAGGAACAGTTAATACTAATATTCTATCCAACATCTTACTGGTTAGTCCTAAAATTTTGGCTGACCACACAGAAATAAAGGAATAGGAATAGGATGCACCAGTATCAACCAAAAGCTTAACTTGAGTGTTGGATAAAATAATAGTACTGTCAAGAGCAATTCCTTCTTCTTTGTCCCTGCCTTCCTGCCACGAGGAACACTCGTCCTCCATTCCTTCCTGGTTGTGGATTTTCAGGTCTCCTACCTGGTCCTGTCTGGTTTCCTCTTGGTGGTGCTTATTGAGCAGGTCGAGCAGCCTGGTTTCCGGCATCGTTTCTCAGCGACTGTTGTCATGGTGCATTTGTTCCACCAGCTTGATTCCGATGTGTACAGTTAGGTCTAATGTGGCCTTCTTCGCCACACGCATTGCAGGTAGTGGTACGGTTCTTCTTTGGAGTTGGTCCCTTGCTACTAGAACCTTCATCTTTCTTTTCCCCAAAGCTCATTTTCTTGGAATTGTTTCTTCTTCGATCCTCAAATCTCCCTGGGTGTAGGTTTCTTCTCTGGCTTAAGAGACAGTCTTACTCCAGCACTTGTGCATTAGTCACCATCTCTTGGTATGTTTGATCTCCTTGAGCTGTCACATGTCGGCAAATATCGTCCCCAAGGCCTTGTCGAAACCTCATCGACTTCATTTCTTCGTCCGCCATTAAGGTAGGTGCAAAGCGTACTAGGTCAGTGAACTTTGCTACGTACTCTGCCACCGTCATCTTGCCTTGTTCAAGGGTGAACAATTCCTAGATTAGTTTGTTTAAAAGCGGTAGGAAAATACTGGTTGAGAAAGTATCTTTCAAACTCGTCCCAGCTGATGTGTTCAGCGTATTCGCCCTCTTGGTGGAGTATTGTGTCCTACCAACTGCTTGTCTCGTTCTCCAGCATTTGGGTTGCGAACCGTACACAATACTCTAGTGGCGCATGCATAGAGTCTAACTTTCTCTTAATGTGCTTAAGCCAACCTTCGGCTTTCTTGGCTTCAATCGCCCCTTCGAACTTTCAGTTTTAAAAACCGCTCCAGGAAATAAACATGAAATTGATGTTACTTTATCATAGACATGAAATAAAGTTTCTGGCTAATACAAAATCTGAGTTTGGAATCTGACTTTCATAGAACACACACAAAACTTCTCATGGCACTATGCACAAGCATTCATATGTGACCACAAAATTCGCATATCTTGTAGCGTATAAGAACAGAAAATCGCATCGTTCCCTAATGTCTTTGATCCCTTGTATAAATCTTCTTACTTGTAACAGAAGTATATTGCGTTTGCATTATCAAAGGTCTTATCTGTCCTATGCTTGGACTACATATACACAAGTGCTGAAGTGACTATATACTATTACTGATATTTAAAAATCCCAGAGAGTGCTCAGTTTCTTCAATGTAGTTGACTCGACGAAGAAGATTTTTGATCCCATCAACCCATTTCTGCTTATGAACCTTGTTCTTGCACTTGAACTCTAGTAGACCCTGTCCAGTTTTGAGCCCGAAATAGACCTCTTCTGAAATTTCCCTTTCTTTCTTATATGGCCAAGCAGAAGTCTCATCACAGACTCCATAAACAACACCTAACACATGTACATTCAGAGATGAGAAATGCTTGCTAAAAAATATATCGGTCAACAAAATTTCTACGAACAGTGCTGACTAGTTTCCAAAATCAGAGAGGAATGAAGACAGAATAGTAGTGTAAATAGAACACACAATTTGTTAAAAAGTCAACCAGCTTACTTTTGTTTTTCTTGGAGAATGCTCCTCCAACATGTTTACGCTTGAGTTTAACTATAACCTGAAAAGACAAAGATAAAAGTCAGAAACTCAATTTTTCTATCCAACGCTTTCTCCTGATCATTCCTTCGACTAAATTTATTTACCTGAGATTTATTGTTGATATAGACAGAGACACGTTTCCATTGTAAAACACCTGTATACACCAATTTCATCAAAACCTTATGAATTAGTTAAGTCCATTTGACACTTCCAGGTTTAACTGAATTCATGACTCAAGAGAAGCAACATCAAGTTTACAAGCACAGAGGAATTAATTAACGTAAACTTCTACGAACTGCAAGAATTAAAGCTTCTGGTACTTAATGTTTTGGATTTCTGTACAAAACTTTCCAATGTCAACGGAACTTATGAAATTACAAAGTTTGTGTCCTTACTAGAAGCCAAGTGGTAGGCAATGCAATCTGTTTCTAGCATACAGGGTCTCTCACATAGTTAATATCGATGAATGAATCCTGTACTTGTTAAGTTACCTTTTCCTGTAAGTTGCAGTAGTTCTCCAACACAGGGAGGATCCTGCTCCTCTACTTGACTATAAAAAGCACCAGCTGAAGGAATTTCAGCCATTCCCCGATCATAGGGACTAATAGCAGCATTCCTTCGTGCTTCTTTCGGTAACCTTGATTTCAAAGCCGATTCTCCTCGCAAAGCTAAAGAAATACTTTGTATTACTTAATGATCAATGGCTTAAAACAACAGGAAGACAAGCATGTCAATGTGTTTTTGATATATGCATGCACTGTCACTCATTGGCAAAAGGTGAACAAGCAAGACAAGAAATTCATTACTTGGTAAATTTCTGTGCATATTGTGATGATTCTTCACAAATTCTCTGAATCTTTTCATTTGAAAGCTGAAATTTTTGCTTTCTTTTGTTTACTTTTAAATATGAGCAAGTACCTGTAGCAGCAGCTGCTGTAAGAGTCATAAGGTCACCAGGACTTTGAATGTCCACTGCTGATCTAACAGTAGATGCCACATGGTCATGATTAGCTCCTGCTAATTCAGCCATTTCAATGCAATGTGATGCCAGCAACTCTGTAGCTAAAGCCAAAGCCATGGTCGTTTTTGAGCCAGAACCACTGGAGTTTTCTGCTGCAGTTACAGCTGCCAAGGCTGCAGCAACTCCTGCAATGGAGACAGCAGAATGCACTCGTGCTCTTTCTACCCGTTCCTTATCTTTCTTTTTCACTGTGCTACTAGTGAACTCCTTATGATGGAACCATTTGCCCATTGACATTGTTCTCCGATTATTAACAGACTTTACAATCTTTCCTGTCTGCAAGAAAGAATCAGAACAATTAGAAAACAGAACTGAACCTGAAATCCAGACTTACAACCATTGATGGAATGTCATGGTGGAGGACAAAGGTATCAAGAAATACTTATTTTCAAAGCAGCATAAGCACCAAATTCATTATCTAAAAGCTATCCCACTCCTTAGTTTCATTTCATGAATACTTAGGCAATTCAATAGCAAGCCTTGAAGAAAGGGGAACAAAATTCAATATATTGTAGGACCAAATTAGGAAAATACTGCACATGCATATATTCATTGGAGTTAAGGGAGACTAGCTTACCAGTTGTGGCACAACAGTTGCTTCTGGGAATTTTTCAGGACTTTTTTCAAGAGAAAATTGCTTCTGCTTTTGAGCAAGGGCCTTTGAGATTTCTGAAGCAGAAAGACTCCATGACCTTGACAAAAACTCCATAGGCTCCTGTGGTGTTTGTGGCTGAGGGATTGCAGGCAAGTTTGGCACTATTTTCATCTCCTCAGCTTCCTCTACATGTTGTAGCCCATGCAAAGAACCAGAACCCGTCCAAGCTGAAAAATAACCACTTTCCATTTCTTAATTTCAAGTTGTGTCTTTCTACAGACAGTTTTTTCAAATGTTCTAACTAATTAATCAGAAAAGCTTTTCTTCTTTCTTCTTTCTTCTTTGTGATCATTGGTGGTGGTCAGTTATATATGCCTTTAGGTCCTATCAAAATTTCCACAATTGATGGCTTTGGCCTGCTCCTGTGGATATCAATTGAAGGTAAAAGTTAGCATATACTACTGTAGAAATACTTAAGATATCATTAAAAACAGAACAAAAAAGTTTCTACCAAATTGGTTTTGGTTGTTCAGCCAAAACAAAAGAAAGTAAGCGAACTGCTATGGAGACTGGTGTAACAAAAGCAACACTAAAATCTACTTCAGATTACCAAAAAATGAGGGTTAGTTTTGGATTGAATTTGGAAGCATACACCCTTTTCCTTCTTGAAGCAAAACTACTTTTCAAGTTCTGCTTTACAAAGCAAAATACTTCCAAATGCCAAAAACACGTACTTAAATATTATTAAGCCCCGGCAGAGTTTGGAAACTTCCACACACCCAATGAATATTTGTGTAACCCCCCTCTGCTCAATTGCTTATGCTAAAAAAAATATATATATTATTATAAAGCACCGCTTTCTCTCATATGTAGTTGAAAAAGACTGTTGGGAAACAATCAACAACAAAAACCCAATTGGGAATTTTGTAAAATGGGCTTGGATTTTGGAAATGGAGACTTCATAAAAAATGAAAAACCCAAGTGAGAATTAGAAAGAGATTGATTGCTAACCTTCCAAATTTTCCAATCTTGAAAGCTCTATGCAAAGAACAAATCAACCCATTTCTTCTTGGCCAACGAAACTCCTTATATATATACACATTAAGGAGAGCCAGCCAGCCACACACAGAAACAGTGAGAGACAGAATATGTCACACGAACACATACAGGAACCTAGTGCTTTGAGCTCCCATGAATTCAGGTCGGGCTTGCATTATAAAAAAAAAAGATTACGAACCAAAAACAAAGAAATGAAAATTATGAAATTAGGATTCACGAAACTCGAAAACTTGGAAACACAAACAGGGGACAAAACACAATCCTGGATAAGTGGGGGAATGGTTTCTTAACGCACGTACAGAAAAACACCAGAGCCTATAAATATGATTAAGAACCCATAAATATGATTAACAGCCCATAAGGGATGGATTAGACTATGAATGTTAATGTGTTAAGGTTAGAGGAAAGGACGAAAGTTGTGTTTTTTTTCTTTTCTGTGGTGGATCAGCCGTGGCCAATAGCAATGCATGAAGGTTGACTGGACGGTGGGGACGGTTTGGGAGGCAGGGCTTTTCTTTTTTATCTCTCATATTCCCTCCCTTCTTCCTTCTTCCTAGGTTCTGGTCCCTACGACCCTTGGTATAGAATTTTCCCTACGCTGCCTTTTGCGGGCCACGCGTTGAGTGTTTGTTTGACTGGCTCAGATCAAATTCTTTTCTTTTTTTCCATTTTTTGTTTTTATGACTTTTAAAAAAGGAAAGGAGCAAGACTCGTTTAGTACACCGTATTAAACACTGTATAAGAATAAATAAAACCGTGTTCGAAGACCAAAAATGAAGGATTTGAACATGAAATCTCTTCTAACATTTAGAAGAACTCATCATTTTGGCAAATAGAACAAGTTTAACAATGGCGGAAATAATAGTTGGTGAACCTTCGCCCAAGTTTAACAATAGAGCAGATGTCAAAAGTCTTGTGCTAGACATTTTGGCAAATATGTTTAAATGAAATCTCTTGATACTGGCGTATTAAATCTGCCAACAATGAATATGCGTGACACGGAGGGTTAAGTTTGTTGCTTTAATAAAGTTTAGAGTCTCATTTAACTTGAACTTTAGGTATCCAAACTGAAAAATCTATTGAAGCCCTTCACGCAAGGTATAACATTTCATGACTTTCGAAATAATCGTCCAATCTCAAAGATAAAGTAGATTACTGTAACTTTTGAGAATAACATGAGATATGTCCATATTTTAAAGGGGAACCACAATAATTAAGCGTCAAATTAATAAAAGAATCAACATATCATTCTTTAAAGCACCATGAAAGTTCGTAGTATTGAGCTTAGTACTTCCTAATGGCGACATTGCGGATTTTGTTATGCAGGATGCCAAGGTAGGGTGATCACTTGCATTACTTCTTGTTTGGGAGGAGAGAATAACGCGATGATTTGGTCATCATGGTCACGGTAGGCTGCCGTGCAGAGACCAAATGTCTCTGCTGAGGACATTGATCACTTATTAGCTCTATCTTTGCCATCCAAGACACCTAAGAAATTGAAGTATGGGTTGGATTTGGATATCCAACAAAAACATGTGCCACAATTGACAACTATGTTACACATTTATTAGTGAATGTCCCACTTGACAGCTATGTTTTTGGTAGCAAAAGCAATGCTTTTTTATTAGTTTCATTGTATTAGCCTCAGCTTCTGAATGGATATGTGATCACTTCTTAGTTCTTACCTACCAAAGATTCCAAAGTCATCAAATTTTGAAATTTTGTGGGATGGCACATATCAATTATCATAAAGGTATCCTATATATGTTCCCTCTTATATTCTTCTCCTTTCTTTTATGTATGATAGTGATGACATAGTTGATTGGGGTTTTCTAAAAGATGCCGTGCCTTCGGATTTGCTAAGGCTCTTTTATGCTAATTGTCAAGGGAGAGCATCTCTCATGTGCCTCACCATTGCAATGGGGTTGCTTATTGTTTGGCTCGCTTTGCTTCGTCTACTGAAAGTTATATTTGTTGGATGAAAGTTCCCTTGTTATTTTTTTGTCGAAGAGTTCTCTTATTCTTATTCAAACCATTCTATTTGAGAATTGAAACAACGATTAATTTTCTTCAATAAGATATTGTTTCTCAAGAAAAGCTTTACTTAATTAGGTCTATCTTTCCACACCGTTTGTTATGCAAGAGTATTGTCCGAATTGTGCCAAACTAGAATGCACTCTAGAAAAGGAAAATAATATCAAGTAGCCATCATTTCAACCAATTCTAAAAATTTCGCCCCAAATTTGGTATAACACGTTACTCAAACTGATTGGGCCTTTACCTTAGGCATTAACACCATATGGGTGAAGTTGACTAGTTTTAAAAGTCTTTCTAGTGAGAGAAAAGTTGAAATGAAACTCATAAAGTGACCCAAAATTTTAATTTTAAATTTAAAAAAATGTATATACGCATAATCGGACCAATACATTGAGTTTTCACAATGATATCGAAAATTGATTATAGAACATAGAAATTGTATCAATAAATTAGTTGGGCAGATTTTAATCAATATACCTCACACTTGCTCATATACGCATGAATAGATGTGTGTTAGAGGAATGCTAGCATCACTTATTCAGTTGGTTATATCTAAAACAATAATAAATTATTAATATATTATGAAACTCACATGCATCAACGGTTCATATTGATCCCGCACGTGCGACATAATTCACTATGTTTAACAATCTTGTTCGAGGCAGTTCTCAAAAAATAAAGACAAATAACATTCTTGTTGGAGGCATCTCATTCCGAGAACGAATTGATTTGATTAACCAATGACATTTTTTGATATAAAAAGTAATACCAAAATGCATAAAATTCATATGGAAACAAACACTGATGAGAAAGCAAAAGGAATATGGGCTGTCCTGTCACCTTCCACTACAACCTCCTGGACTTTTCACCAAATTAGGTTTAACTTTACATACTACAGAAGAGATCAATGTCCACATCATAGAAAAAGAGTGGAAAAGGAAGCCGAGAAGACTTAAAAAACCTATCGTTTTAAGTTGTAGTGCTATTTATCCTCTCATTACATAAAACGTACAGCACTTTGCATCAAATAAAGCAGGGATAGTATAGTGGCCTCGGCTTTAATCTGTGCAAATTTTGGACCCACACCCACCAAAGATAGAGACATGCAAACAGTTGTGGTGAGAAATTCTTCTTCTTTTTTTTTTTTTTTTTTTTTTTTTTTTTTTTTTCTGGGTTAAGCATAAGTAGAAATTAAATATTGGTAGGGGGTTTCACTAAAACACCAAAAATGGGTGGCTTTAGTTAAATTCGTTAAGAACATTTGTTCATGTACTATCTTAAATTAGATTTTACACATTCTTAATATCGTTTGTATAAAAAAATTTAGAAACAAACGGTGGAGCTTTTTATTATCTTTATACGTAAAGAATTGAACTCTGGTTTTCTTCTATTTTCAAATCAACCAAAAAAAAAAAAAAAAACCTTTTCTTTAAATATTTGGACTTACTCGAAAATTGATTGGGACATTTAAATTATAGTGACCATATTAGAGATTTCTAGATTAGGAGTTTTAAGTTTTTCCCTAAAAAACTATGTGAAAGGCGATAAAACCGTAAAATGATGCACCACAATTCACAAAACTCATTTGATTTAGTATATGTACAATTCTTATTCACGGCTCAAAGTACTTTTTTCTTTTCTTCATGGAATTGATGAGTGCAATCGTAGGTACTCAACCCAAAAGCAAGAATAAAGCCAACAAAAACAATAACAACAAAGCAAACAACAAGAGAAACCCCAAAGCATGAGCATATCAAATTAAGCATAATCTTCAGATGCTGGGACTTGGCCGTAGGACCCAATGAAAATGTCACCATAGACGAGCCCAGCCAGCCCACCACCAATTAGTGGGCCGACCCAGTAGATCCAGTTGTCGGTGAAGTCTCCGCTGGCAACGGCCGGGCCAAACGACCGGGCTGGGTTCATCGAGCCACCGCTGAATGGGCCGGCAGCAAGAATGTTGGCCCCAACAATGAACCCAATTGCAATGGGTGCTATGATTCCCAGTGAACCCTTCTTGGGGTCAGCAGCTGTGGCATAGACAGTGTAGACCAGAGCAAACGTTATGATGATCTCAAATACCACTCCTTCAATTGCACCTACCCCTGAGGCAAGTGTATGGGTTGGCACATCCTGCCAAATCCAAAGCCATAAAATCCAAATCAGAAAACTGAATTTAAATCATATCGAAACTGGAATTTAACATATTATGTTATCGGTTTGTCAATATGAATATGTTACCCCGCCGTCATAACATGCCAGATATAAAATAAGATAAACTTAATTGGGTCCAATTTGATTAAGTTTTAGGGTCATTGTCTTTGGGTAAATTGTGATGTGATTATCTTAGAAATATACCAATTGAGTGACAAACTTGAGGAGAAAGCTGGCAACGATGGAGCCCAAGAGTTGGGCAATCCAGTAGAATATGCCAGTGAGGATGGTGATGTTGCCTCCAATGGCCAATCCAAGTGTGACAGCTGGGTTCAAATGGCCACCTGAGATGTTTGCAGCAATAGAGACCCCCACAAACAGTGCAAATGCATGGGCTATGGCCACCGCTACCAGGCCCGCAGGGTCCAACGCTGCTGATGTCAGCTTACCTGCGTACAAATAGTCATTGAATTATTTGCATAACAACTCCAACATGTCATGTATGAAACAATTTTTTAATTAATTACACTATTAAGTAATAATCATATTAATTTTAGCATATTCATAAGTCTATGTCATTTTATTCTTTTGTACGTGACTGTCATGATTCAGATTCATAGTCTTGCAATATAAGCATTTGCTTGGCAAGCTGCTCTTTGTACCTGAAACTCATGACATTTTTTTATTCAACTGGTTTATGTAAGTAATTTCATATAGTAAATCTATAAAAGAAAGCGTTATTCGTGCACACTTGTAAGGAAGTGCAAGTGAGAGGTCCATTTCGACACTCTTCATCTTGCATAATTACTTATACTTAAAGCTTAATTACCGTAAGCAACGGCAGATCCAACACCAGCAAACACAAAAAGAAGGGTGGCAATGAACTCAGCTAGATAGGACTTGAGGGAGCCAACACTAAACGAGTCACCAAAGCTACCAAAAGCCAACTTCACCATTTTTGCTCACTTGAAAATCAAAAGAAAGAAACCAAAAGCTAGTTTGAGTTTAGTGGATGCTCTTCACATTCTCTGAGCATCAAATTTATATACAGTGCTTAGAAATATACCAGGCTAATGCGAGAAGGGCCAACACTGCCGGCGCCAACCCTATGTGCATGGGACCCTATGAGCCGCTGGCACCGTCTGATTGCATGCCGACCAACCGCCAGATCATTTTTAAACTTTGGAAAGAGTTTGTATAATAGAGAGGCATTATGAGGATAAGACAACTAAATTAATTACTTGTATTAATTAATGAACCGACATTAAGTATTATAACTGTTTTAAGGAGATAAGCATGTTAATTCCGATGGAGGATTTGATTATCAGCCTTGGGCACCAACCACTACATTACAATAGAAATTGATTTTATAGAGGCATGATCATGTCGTTTTCCTTCGATGGTAACCTTTAAAATATTGTAGGTGATGTTGATATGCAATACAAAGATTAACATGATTTGTTGTCACTTCATGTTTATTGTTTAAAGTAAGTCAAGTTTAATATTAATTATCGAGCTAAAATTATGAGGTGACAAACAAATTTATATAAGGATTCTCTCTCGAGCAAATCCGTTACTATTTTCTCTTAATATTAATTATCAATCTAGACTTGTTACATTAAGGCTTCGTTTGTTTCGCGGAAAAGATTTGATGGGAAATAATTTCTCATGGTAATACTAGGAAATACCACTTTATTTCATTTCCCATGTTTAGTTTGAGTATGAATATAAAATAAAGTTGATTTAATTTTTCAATTATATCCATATGAAATCAAATAAAAGAAGAATGCATTTAATGTCACATCCCGGGATCGGCTCCACTTTAGGTTAGGCCCCATCCTTTGCCCTCACAATTTTGTTTCTGAGAACTCACAAGCAACTTACCTGTGGGTCATTCATCCTGGGATTGCTCTAGCCCAACTCGCTTAACTTCGGAATTCCCATGACTTCGAAGCCAATGAGCTCCCAAAAAGCCTCTTGCTAGATGAAGGCGGACATGTACATATAAAACACATCACCCTCTCTCCGTTGGTTGATGTGAGATGTTATATTTAATGCTAATCGTAATTCTAAATTGTTATGAGGACAAAATAGTCATGAAAAATTTGCATTTAATGTTGGCCCAATTTTCTATGGGAAGGGAAAATAAAACCCAAGGGGGAAGGAGGGACATTTTCCCCCCATTTTTTCCACGTTCCAGAAGCAACCATTTCTCATACTTGGACTTCCCAAACATGAAAAACAATTGATTTCCCATCCCCAAACCTTTCTTCTCAAACCAAACGCATCCAAAGGAAAAAAAAAAAAAACCCAAGTATGTCATGGTAATTGTTGGGTTGAGGACTTGAGGTCAGCTAGAATATTACTCAAACAAATATATGGAAATTTTTGTTATACTAGTTTTAATTTGCACTGCAGCAGTACTAGTTTTAATTCTCAACTACTTTAGGAATCCAGTGTGATAATTGAAGAAGCAGCTTCTCGACTTTCGAGTTGAGGCATGATTTGGCATTTTATAATGAACAATTATGATGGTGCTTGTATTAGTTTATTGTTGTTTCATGGTTAATTAATTATTGCGCTTGAGCTTTTCCAGTTAAGAAATCATTTAAAACCAATCATATCACTATTTGTTAAAAGCTGTGTTTATTCTTGAGAATTATTATTCACACACACTCTACCCTTATTATTATCTTTTTATGGTAAAATAGTTAAGTATATTTTTGGGACTTCATTTAGCCAGTGTCCACACTCTCACATAAGTAGTCACGTTTTGTAGATAAGAGTTATAGATACTCTTTTTACAAAAGTAGTCACGTGTTGTAGATATGAGTTACAGATATAAGTTATGTCAATTGGTCAGTGCAATAAATCTGCCCCCTTACATTCAAGTTCAAATCCACATCCTCGAAAAATCACATGCTAGCTGAATCAAGGGCATGTGGTTAGAGCGAAGTGGTACACACTTGTTACATAATATTTTCTCCCAAAGGTTGATACTGACATTAGCTGTAGGATGACTAAGAATGCCTAGAATGGGTGAATCGGCCAATGAAAGATTATAATCAATAAACAAAAATTAAACTTCGGTAGCAGAATTGTTATGGCTTATCAATCTTGAAACGTGCTGAGCATAAAAATAAAGGAACACGCAGAGAATTATTTTACATTGTAAAACCCCATCTCTAGGGAAATTTCACAGGACTTCTCAATCTAGAACAAATCCACTATATAACGATGATTACAAGAAGTACTCACACACTTATCCTAGACACATTCTAGATAATGTTTTACCGACTTCTTTGTAACTCAACTTCTGTCATGGGATGATATTCGACACTCCTTATGTTGAACGCAATACTGATCGCGATTGCTTCAAGCTCGTCGGAGAAAAACCGCCACCATGGTCTTGGTGCCCTCAACGTATGAGTCACCGACATGTATATGAATGCAATATGAATAATGAAAGGATTTGATACATCTCCAAGCAAACATGAAACACTTGATGACTTATCTCAAAAATATTCACATCAGTTTTCTCTTCAAAATTCCATATGCTCAAAATCAAATATGTCAAAAGTTGTGTTAGTAAAAGAGAGGCACATGGTCTTTTATACAAAACTTGTTCTCTCTAGTAAGAGAGAAGCACAATAGCCCACAAATGCTATCCTATCATGAATATGAGTTTTGATTCACTTTAGATGCTATGTGATGATGCCAACTAAAGCAAGATGAGGAAACCTAATGACTTCCACTGCAACCAATTTTTTAAAAACAATATCTACCTAAACAAATTAATTAGAACAATCAAGTATGAGCTGATTTCAACATGCAAGTCATAATAGGAAATGATAATATTTTAACTTAAATTGAAATAGAGTCCAACTAGAAAAGTAATCTCAAGAGATAAAATCTAATCCTATTAAAAATAGGACTAACATAACAGTGCTTGAGTGAAAATAACTCAAACTAATCCCATGATTTCTGTAATTTTATTTCAAGGAAATATATTTTCTTTATGTGTGCTGCATCAGGGAAAGAAAATTCCACTCCAAGGGGTTTGACGGTTTGAGTTCTTTAGGCATCCTTTATTTGTTTTTCTTACAAGTTTTTATTTGTGTTTTGTGATTTTTAAGTAAGATTGTTGGCATATCATAGAACAATGTGATCATAGATGTGTGTAATAGGAAGAAAAAGATTTAATGAGTAGTGACAATCAAAAGACTTGGGTAAGGCTGTTTTGCAGTGATTGAATCAAAGAGATTGATCATTTTCTCTTCTCATACAAGTTGGAATCGTCATGTTTCGGTTTCACTTTTGAAATTTATGTGGTTCTCCCTTTTCCTTTCAGTACTTCTGACAGGAACTCAAATGTTCCAAGAAGTCGAGTTTCTGCGAAGAAGGACCAAAATGAAACGCAGGTGAGATCACTTAACCAGTTGAAGTTAAAATAATAATTGTCTCCTGCTATATTGATAGGTCTTCTTCCATATTGGTATGTTCAAACTTGACAATGTATAAATTCATAACTGACTGCAGATTGAATCTTATTTTTAATTGGATTTAAACATAGATGCTTACTGTTTTCTTCATGAATTTAACAGATGTCATCACCTTCAACAAGTGCGTCTAGGGGACAAAGTCCTTGGCATGACAATCCTGTTTATATTAACAAGAATATGCCATCAAACCACAGAGCCTCTTTGGAAAAAGACGTAAGAAATGGAATTCAATTTCTCTGTCGTCTTTCAAAATTGTGTTTCGATAAATCTTTCAATAGCGTGAGGTGTGGCTGAGATTAATATGATCTCAAATACCACTCCCTCAATTGCATCTACCCCTGAGGCGAGTGTATGGGTTGGCACATCCTGCCAAATCCAAAGCCATAAAATCCAAATCAGAAAACTGAATTAAAGACATATCGAAACTGGAATTTAACATGTTATATTATCGGATTGTCAATATGAATATGTTACTTTATACAATAAGATAAACTTCATTTGGCCCAATTTGATTGAGTTTTATGGTCATTGTCTTTGGGTAAATTGTGATGTGATTATCTAGAAATATACCAATTGAGTGACAAACTTGAGGAGAAGCTAGCAACGATGGAGCCCAAGAGTTGGGCAATCCAGTAGAATATGCCAGTGAGGATGGTGATGTTGCCTCTAATGGCCAATCCAAGTATGACAGCTGGGTGTTAGATTTCCATATAATACATGTTCTAGATCTTTCACACAATCTGAAATATGTAAAGACATAAACACATACATGGAGCCATCTTACTAGAGTACACGACCTCTGAACTCATCCAATCCGTAGCAGCAGCAATCCTAGCAAGAACAAGAACGGCTCAAGACTTTTGTTGTCTCTCAGAATCTGTTTCAGCTTTCTCTTTATGATTAGAATAGGGTTAGAGAACGTGTCTGATGAGAGCAGAGCCTTAAGCTTATATAGGGCTATGTAAAGTCATCTCTACTTATCATCGAGGGCCGACTTGACTAATCTTCCAATCCCACCAGATCGGCGCACGCATGAACGGCTACAAATAGGACCCGCACGCATGAACGGCTACAAATAGGACCCCGGGTCAGCTCTTATTTTCTTGTTTTAATTATTTTGTATTTTATTACACTATTGTTTTACTTATTTGTCTCTTTAAAATAAAATTGTTGTGATTTAAATAACAGTAATTTTGGCATGAGCTATGGCCACCGCTACCAGGCCCGCAGGGTCCGAGGCTGCTGATGTCAGCTTACCTGCATACAAATAGTCATTGAATTATTTGCATCAAAATTCCACCATATCATGTATGAAACAATTTTTTAATTAATTACACTATTAAGTAATAATCATATTAGTTTCAGCATATCCATAAGTCTATGCCATTTTATTCTTTGTGCGTGACTATCATGATTCAGATTCGTAGTCTTGCAATATAAGCTTTTGCTTGGCAAGCTGTTCTTTGTACCTGTAACCCATGATATATTTTTATTCAACTGGTTTACGTAAG